GAGCAAGCTAGAGAAACGGAAGTGGCCCACGGGCCGAATACTTCGAAAAACAGTCCTCATAGCTACTAGCTGCCACTCATCTGGAGCTGACGTGGAGCCTTGGACGGTGAACATAGACGCCCTTCGTCCTCGGAGGTTTATGACTTCGTATATCTCTGAAGCACCGCCGAGCCCTTTGTCCGGGTGACCTCTCGCCCGAATTGTTCAATGTTGGGGATGAAGTCCTCAGCGCTTGTTTGATCTGTGACGTCTATTTGGGTAAAGGAGACTCTCAGACAACTGGGGATAATCGGTTATAATGTACATTTTCAAAAAAGGGACTCGTAGTGAGTGCGGAAACCACAGGACGATCAGCTTACCCTATGTCGTAACGAGACTTCCGGCGTCACATGTGTTTTGTCACCTTACGGTTGCTCGTGGAACACTGTCTCGAGAGCAGCCATCGGGATTCCCGCCTGGTTTTGACCAAGTCTTCATACTCCTTCGGATTTTAGAACAACGCCGTACGGACAATCGTCCCACAGTTTTACCATTCCTGGATTTCCAAGACAAAGCGGTGTCCGTCAGGGCTGCCGACTCTCCATTCCTATTGAGTTTTGTGATCGATGAGATAATGAGACAAACGCCAGAAGTGCTTGCAAATCCAGTGTTCAAATTGCTTCTGAAGAAACCCTTGTCAATCTAGAGCGTGCAAACGACATCGTTCTCCCCTTCGTAGAGAAGGCGCAGGTGTTTTTGGATGAACTAACTAAAGTTATCCCTTCTTTTGGAACGTACTTTGCACCCTAAAAGTATAAGGTAATGCCGCTGGACATGCAGTTGCTGGATACGGCAATTACAATCCAGGGAGAGGCATTGGAAGTTGTGGAGCGTTTTACGTATCTTGGAAGTTGTATTGGTTTTGATTGTAGTTTGACAGATTAAGTCAAAGCATGGATCTGCAAGGCCCGGATAAATTTGATAATTTAAGACACCTGTGGCGTCAAAGTGATGTGCCCCTGAAAATCAAGAGACGTGTGTATCAAGCGACAGTACGGGCTGTTTTGTTGTATGCCTGTGAGACTTGGTCTGTTCAAGCAGCGGAACCGAGATGTCTTCAGGTGTTCCATAATCATTGTCTCAAAACCATAGCTCATGCGGGTTGGTGTCAGCGAATCCGTAACGTGGCTATTATACAGTGAGTTTTCTGGGTTGTGAAACGAGTACTTCCGTTGAATAATGTGTCCAGCACCAGAAGCTGCGTTGGTTAGGCCATGTGTTGCATATGCGCAACCATGTTTGTCGAAGAGAGTGATGTTTTCCGTGCCCAATTCAGAGTGGCGGCTAACCTTTGATCTTGCATAGGGGTATCAAAGAAATTACGGAACACGTGGGTGCTGTCTGTGCTACTCGCCTTCCAGGACGGGAACCGTGTGATCCCCACTGTGCCTGGTTGGAGACGCTGCAAGATATGGCTGCCAACCGATGTCAGTAACGTTCTTGATGTCAGTTTCTATCCAGATTGCTTGAATGAGTGTCTGAAAGTGTAGACATCTCGGAACGATTCTATTAAGCTAGCACAAAGTTCCTTCACTATCCACCTTTATTCTTTTCTTCACAATAAGGCTTTCAAATAAGTCATGGTTGTACGGCAGTGAAGCATCGGTGTTGAACACTGATGTCATGCTGTCGATGATGATGATGACGATGACGATGATGTCGTTCGTGTGATCGGGTAGCGACGGGATGGTCGAAACGTTGACTCTGCCGGGACTAAATGCGATATTAGTGGCGGTTCGGAACGTCTAGTGTCGTACTCAAGATGTCTACGGAGGCATAGCGCTGTTTTCAGGACCCGAAGGAAGACAGAACCTGCTTGTTTGACCTGGGAGAAACATACAAGCGACGTTGTCCTCGTCTATGAAGAGAGAAAAGCGCTGTTGCAGGATGAACTAACCAAAGTCATCCTGTGCTTCGAGATGTGCTTTGCATCCACAAAGTTCAGGGGCGTGTCTACTCTCCATTTTCGTTTAACTTCTTCATTGATGAAGTACTGAGGCGAACATCGGAAGACCTTCAAAACCCCTTGTTGGGACTCCCAGCCGGAACAGTGTTGATCTTTGATGTGCAAGCGGTACTTTTGGGATGTTTTTCCAAAATTGCAAGGTGAGCTTAACCATGCTATCCAGTTCTTCGGCGTGTGCTTTGCGTACACATCGTGAACAACCGTTCCGCGGGAAGTGGGGTCTTTGAGCATGCCTCTAAAATTGGATGAATGACACTGGAGGTTATGGAACACTATAGGTGTCAAAGAAGCCGCATTGGCCTAGACAGTATTGTGACAGACTAAGTCAGCTCACGAATCCCGAAGGTCACTAATTTGTGCCATTGGGGGACCACAAAAATATCACTGTGTTCCAAAAGGCGCGTTGCTCAGACTATGGTTTAGTTTATTGTACGGCTGTGAGACTTGGTCACTTCGGTCGAAGGATCTCATAATATTTGGGTGTTTATGCACCGATATCTGAAATCACATGGAATCTGTGTATGTGCCATTAAGTGACCAGGAGATGAGTCTTTAGTGAGACAGACGGTGCGTTATTCAGAGCTTGCATTCAGCACTGCAGAGCAAGCTGACTGGGCTATCTGCCGTGACGAGCGTCGTTTTCTGTGCCTGATTCGGAGTGCCGGAATCCTGGTGGTGTGCAGAATTAGTATGGCTGGTGGGAATGAAGAGTGGTGGGGTCTGCGTAACCTTCCGTGTACTCGAAAGGAGGCTCACTAACATCAGTGGGAAGCATGATTTCGGTTTCTGTCCAGATTGTTGCTGACTGTTGGTGTAAGCATGTCGCATGCTTGTGTTAGGCTAGCCCTAGGTCTCCCTAAGGTTTCAGTCTTATTATGACTTTTTTTGAAGGAAATTGACATGGTTTTACGGCACTAAAATACTGACGTTCTCTTGTGGCTTTGCTTTTACTAATGACAGAAGCAGTCTTTTGACTTGTTGAAACAAGCTCAATCATTCCAAAGGGAGTCGTCGAACTATTTGAATCTTTGTTTCTTTCAATGAAGATTGTAAATACTAATAGTTGTCCAATTGATGCCTCGGTACCTGAAAAACTTGAAATTGTGTATAATTGTGTAAACGTTTGATTCGTTAGCGACTTAAGTGCTAGGATGCCTGGGACTCGGGATAGATTGCGTGTGGTTGTGCGAATATCACCAAAATAGATCGAGTTAAAATTTTACTTCCTTATTATCACGTTTTCAGAATGAAAATTCGCAGTATTTTCTGCCAGTATTTTGGGTTTAAAGAAGGCGCATTTTGATTCAGCCTGCTGACAAGGAAATCTGAATTTCTCCCAGTGGGAAAACGGAAACAACGCTTTAGTCTTTATGAATCTAAAAATGCTCCAATGCGAACGTTGGTTCTGGGGTGAAACACACTAGTTAAAGTTGTCTGGCCCTAATTATCATTTTTCAGGCAGATGTCATTGAATGATTTGACCGTCAGCTATCTGACTGATTCGTCAGTCATCGTCATCACTGACGCTGTTGTCTTAAATTTGGATGAGGAATCTCTCACGCCCGCACGCAAAGCCCGGTCGACAAACAGTCAGTGCTCACTGGAACCCTATATTCCCACAGAGTTCACTTACGTTGCAATCCTGAATCAAGCCCACAACGCTCAAGTTTGATCAGCCACCCCGCACAAAGCGTAGTGAACTCATCTTCCTCACACTTTACTCTTCGACTAGATGGCCCGTATTATTATTGTTTTTTTCCACCTTTCAGACTGGAGGTGACACATTCCTATGGAAGCCACTTAGGCTATCGTTTCGTTTGTTTGTATATTGTGCACTTGTTCACCAGGGTTTCTGATCACGAAAAAAATCGTTCAGCTAGCATGCTTACGGTACGTAGCTGCCATGTCACTAGAAGTAAGCAGTGCTGAGATACTGCGAGGTTGCCCAAGCCTAGACAGGGAAAGTTGAGAAGTACTTTTATGGCACGGTCTTCCCACTTCTTTTACGGGAACGAGATTTTCGCATAGTGCATAGCTGGCAAGATGAATTGCACTGAACGTGTGTAAGAATTCTTTTGGGCAGCGATGTGACGTGCTTGGACTCTGGTGAGTCAGAAGCATACCATAGGCACTGTCCTGGTGTAGTTGTCCCAATCAGCTATCGTGTTTCACTGATCACCCATAAATTGATCGTTCTGTTTTAATTCGGAAGGGTCACGATCTGTTACGCAATGATGCCGGGTTTATACTAACCAGCAGTTAGGTGCTCTTCGTCCTTTTTTTTCTCACTGTGGTGTTATGACCAGCCTTCGTTTAGTTTGATTGTCATATCCAAACTTTTAGCTCGTAGAACACTTCTGCCTAGTTGTTTTCACCACCAGCTTGTTTTGATTTTACATCGTGAACGATATACGTCAATCCGTTTTCCATAAAACGCCTATTCCGCAAACGCTTTCCAACTTTTTTTTATTCATTTAAGAAGCATTTTTGTCGTCCAATTGTGGATGAACAATTCTAATCGTTCTAGCTAATAGTGAACCTGAAAATCTGCCATTCGCGGGTGTGGGTCAGACATTTGGGAGTGGATTTAATGTCATGGTGGTTTGCTGATCACTTTGGGGATATTCGCCATGTGCATAAGTGTAGGCAGCATGATGCTAAAATATTGCCACTTGCGTCAGGTGGCCAATGTTACGAAATCAGTCTGAGCTTGTTGAGCCTACTTTCCTTGAATGAACGCATCAGAGCCACACACGTGGCTGGTCATGGCAGTCGACGTAACTCATTGGGCCTGGCTGCAAAGTATCTCAGCAAGTCTATTTTTGCTATCATTTTCTATTCATACTGTATGTTGTGTGTGGTAAACATCGCGGATGATCAGAGTAGGTTTGCACTGGGTAAACGGGTATGGTTGTACGACAGTGATTCACTCCTATTCTACGCTGCTGTCTAACCCGATGGCGATGATGAATGACATCGGTATGCTATATTTTAGATCGGCGGGGGAGTGGATACTGGAATCGAGGCTGTGATGAATCTCACTGTTGCTAATTCGGGTGAGGGTTCGTTCATCACTAGTCTTGAGGGGCGTCAGTGTATCGAATACTTGGCTCGAATCAAAGCCACCAAGGAGCAATGCAAAGTCGTTGCCAATACAGCGACACATTCCATCATGCAATCGAAAGCTGACCACAAGGAAGCATCGTCAGGTGCGTCGGCTGTCAGACGCAGAGGTTAGTTACTCTGTATGCTTTGGTTAGCGTTACGTGTTTGATACTTTTATAAACTTTCCCTGAGTACCGATAAGTACTATCCGAATTTGAAGAATCTGTACGGATGGACGTTTTGTATTTCTTACCTTGACAGCAATGTCGCTGTACCAGACTCCCATATGATGCGATTTTACTGACAGGATGAAATGCGGCTTTGACACTTTGAAATGCGTCAGTTGAATAACGCTACCGTTTCCATACCCACAACTATGCTAGTCCACCATAGCAGCGACTTTAAGTTCAAGGGAGACTTCGCACTCCTCTCAGTTGATTATTAACGGTCATTCAGGTTCTTGTTGCTTTTAAAGCCTTTACAAACATGTGGGTAATCGAACGCCATAGTGACGCAGTGACATTATAGTTTCGATCATTACGTCGTCACAACGACTAGCGGCTTTTTGGGGTCCAGCTGACCGTACTCATTACCAGGGTGATCGACAGTTACATCAAGACAAGTGAGTTGTCGGTGAATTGCCAGTGTTACTAATGAAGGCGGTCGTCTCAAATACTAATTGAACGGGTATGAGTGTTTTGGTACCAGACACACTGAGCGACCGAGTGAATAATTGGACCTGGTGTATGCTAAAATGGTAGCTGTTATCCTTCCCCGAGGACCGAGTCACTGGGGTGATTTACCCATACTTTTGGAGCGCTCGCCCCTGAATTCAACGTTGGATGCGGTCATTTCACGCTAGGCGGCCCTTTTAGCAAATGGTCTAAATTATGACTTTCGCTCAGTTTATCTTCATCACTAAAGGATTATGAAGATGTTCTTTGCGTGAAGCTAATAAACGAAAAAACGGTGAAGTTTTTCGGCGGATCTCGAAATTTTTAAAATCAGATTTTGTGTTTTCACTCTCATGAAGTGGCCATATTGACTTATACTCATCTAACAGTGGCGTTACTCTTCTAAAGCTTCTTTTAATTCATTTGTTGTTTCCCTCACCGATTCGTTCTACAGAGGTGTTGAACTGTTTCCCATTTGTTCTGTACCCTAGGTCGAAATCAGAATAGTGTAAAATCGATCGCCAAGAAATCGGAACCCGATACGGACAGTAGTACTACTACTAACACCTCAGTTAAACCACAGCAATATTCGAAGGAATCCAGGGAGTGGGAGCTGACCAAACTGCGGTCGTTCACACTTCCTTTCCCGCTCCCTGACTCACCCGATGTCAATGGCGTTCAGGTCAAAGCGAGCGATGGTAGTGGACTACCGACCTGTGTGGCAACTGGAGGTCCTGGTGGATGTTGGCTGGCCGTCGGTTCTGATGTTGGCTCTGTGTTTCTAATCAACCGTCATGTTGATCCTGAAAGGAACATTGTAGAGCCTGCATCTCGCTCACATCAACTAAAGGTGGGTGGTGGTGTCATTTCGTGCTGGTCTGTTTTGAGCTGCTGACTATTTTTTATACGAGCTATTTTTCTAGCGATTGCTTGTTGGCTTCAAAACACAAAGCCATAACTACGCCTGACAGTATTTGTTTACAAACGTGATTAAAAAGTCTCTAGAAAACGGTGGGAAGTATGACAAGCATACATGAAAAGCAGAAACCCCGAGGTTAACTGAGGAGGATTCTTGGAAAATGGAAGCGGAAAAAGTTCAGTCGCTCAAGGAACTTGATAGCGTTATGAGTGCATTAACAAGTTTCTGATTATTACGGAGTGACTACACTTTGTGGGGCAATGTTGGAACGCAAAGATCTTTCAAGAGGTAGTACACCTAACGTTCCAGATAATCCATCCATGCAACTCTCTTGCGTGAACTTCCAGCATACCTTTTCGAGGACGTGACAACGGTGTATATTTGTTTTGTCCAGCAATACAATGCTCTGTGTTTTGGTTTCTTCCTAGGCCACTAAAGAATATAATATCTGATCCAGCAGCACTGGAAATAACAATGCAACAGAACGGCGGACTTCCGGCATACTCTAAGTGTGAACCATCTATCCGCCCTCTATGCAAGAGACGGCCCACTGGTTAAGGCGCAAAGTTACTGACCGGAAGGCCCTGACCTCTGCCTCTCGGCTGTTCCTGTCTAGACTTGGGAAACCTGGCAGTATATCGGCCCTCGTGCTTCCTTTGGGCGAAATGGCAACTAGACACCTAAAGGATGCTACATCTAAACCATCTAATCTATCCACTGTCTGCTGCTACCGATTCTTTCTCTGTATGTGTCAATTGGCAGGGGGTTAGATGGCTCAGTGTTTAGAGCGCAAGTTTACTGACTGGAAGGTCCATGCTCCGAACCCGACCTCTGAATCTCAACTTCTCCTGTCTGGGCTTGGGCATCCTGGAAGTGTCCGACCCCTCGTGCTTCCTTCGGGTTGCAGCTAGGCACCGCAAGGGTGTTACAGCTGAATGATTTGCTTATATTTATTATTTCATACTGAAGAGCCGGTTCGAAGTGCGTGAGTCTATTAGCATCCGTCTTCTGAATATAATCTTCTAGTCACTAAGCCAATCTAACCTTGTGATGATGAAGCGATGACTTTCCGACTCGATGGTCGAACCGTTGCATCGTTTGATTACTTTGAAAGGCGAGATTGCTCGTGTGGGCTGAGACACCAAAATGTAGGCATCAAATTGTTAGCTGTCGACCAAGGAGGCTTTCCAAATTCTCGCGGAGCGATAAACGCAGACCCACAAGTGGCAATATTTGTCGACTCGCTTCGTGACATAATATACCCGACCACGTTCGATACATTCACTCCAAGCACCTGTAGTGCTTTTTATTTGAGCAATATTTTTTGGGTGATTTTCGCTAATATGGTAGCGGTCAGGCCGAAATGCCTTCCACCATCTCCGGTTCAAAGGGTTGGGTACCAAACCTGAAACTGAATACTTCCCTACTAGCCCAAATAAGGATTAACACAGCCTGTTTTCCGTCTTCTGGCAAAGCGAAGCGTTTATAGTTTTCTTCTGATGAATTCCAGCTAGATTTGCACTCGAATCATAAGCAATCGTTTTTCGTAGTGATAGGGTTCTGTAGAGACAATGCACAACCTCTTTCCTGGTGTGCTAAATCCCTGTTGATTCATTCTCAAAAGACAAGCCCTGAGGATGCTCGTGCAGACTTTCCGCCCCTGGATGCCACCATGCACCTACAGTTACTATTTTCCTGTTCTGTGTTTGCACAGCAGCCGAACACGATCATCACCATGATGATGACATGATGATTGGGATGCTGATGATGGCACATTGTTTTCTTAGTCCATCCATGGTATCGAAGAGGCCTTCCAGACTACATATACAACTGGTCCTTATTCTCCACATGCTTTTGATTTAGTCTGTTTCTTCATCTGTGTCCGTGATAGTCTGACAAATATCCTGGAAGTAGGTCGCAGTTTTCCGATGTCGTAACGTCACTTGCCTACATGCTATTCACGGGCAAACGAAAAAATAACTGTTAAGTAGCATGATATACGAACTGCGATCATAATTTCCACGCCCAGCATAATGTTTACGAAAAATACGAGTGGTATCCCAAACCATACAATGCCATTCACTGTGAGGTCGCTGTCCTTTTTCATACCACACCAGCAGCCGTCCAGATCACACTTTCTATCATCATCAGTTTTCGTTATTGACCTGGTAAAGCCTGTTGCTGACCGCACTGTGGGTGTCTTGTGCACTCTAGTTAACCTGAGTGAATTCCCCAGACTTATTTGTTCCAAACACTGAGACTGTTCTCGCAGTTACTGGACGCGTCTGACAGTTGAATTCGCACCGTTTTGTTGGTTTCGACTCACTTGTTATCTGGTTGTTACTGGACTTCGACAACTTTCGTTTCGCACTACGATAGAGAATTTACGTCGTAATCTGTGCTTTTCTTATTATCCAGAGATATCGGACACCTATTGAGTGAAATTCTCGATTGATCGGATTTAGTCGGTACTTATCACGACACCTTGAGGACATCTAATTTCTCCACCTTTCACTGATGGTGAGAATTCACTTGCAGTGCTTCAGTTAACCCAAATGGACTATTGTGCCACTTAAGTGGAGAACATATCGCTGCATGTTTATTGATATTCAAAACACACCAGTCGTCACGCTGAGAGCACCGAATATCGCGCATGTGGTGTGCCACTAAAGGGCTGTTATCGCTCGGGCCGTTGAAATGGAATTGCGTTTTGCACCCTTTTATCGTGCACCATTTCACGCGTATATTCGTGGAAAACTAGATCGGATGATTTATATTGGAAATTTGCATTCTGGATTTAGCAAGAGATCCGGAAATCAAGAAAAACGAGTGGTCTTTGGCGCTTATTATATATGTCACAGCTCAATTCGAAAGTCCGTTAATCCGCTTCTATGTACTTTAATGTACTGTACTGTGTACTTCTGTACTTCCTTGTACTTCCTTACCTCACCTACCAAGTTTTTGATTTTCGCTCACCCGTCCACTTCTTGTGTATCCATCACGAACGGGCTTGATCTTATCACAGTGTCAGTTTATGCACCATCATAATCCACTTAACCACAAGGGGAGGTGTACGTGTGAAACTCATAGATCCATTCACCGCCGAGTGCCTTTAGATTCGGGATCTTGACCGCCACGGCCGTGGACACTTTGAAATCATCCTTCAGGCGCCGACGCTCAGTTCGTCTGACAGCCTGTCTTGAACTCCTTATGCACGACGCCATCTCTCCTTTTCTATACACATCGCATGGACAGCAAAATTTAGGATAAACTAGCTCGTATGTTGATTTTACCTACCATAAGTAGTACTTCCAAGGATATCCTTTGTCAAAAGTCCCCGACTTCATTCGCTGACAGGTCGATCATATGGAACAGATACCCGATGTGGGAAATGATGGGCATTCTCTTTCTTCGGGTCACGCGTGTAGTTCGAGGTTGCCGTGTACACATGATTAGTGGAACTAGATAGTGAAAATAATACTGGTCCGATCTCCCAAGACGCATGCAACCCACAAGTTACGAACTAGGGGGGGGGGGGTTTAGCATTTTGGAAACGTTCTTGGCTAAATGTGACGTTGGAAACGCATGTCCAAAATCTAGAATAACGTCCGCCTGTCTCTGCAACAGGCTGTCCTGAAACGAACTTCAGGCCACTGCCTTCAGCTCAAAATCATTTGTAGTCTTACATGTTGCGAATTCAGCGATAACTCTCTTGGCGGTTAGTGCAGTACAGGCAGTCAAGAGTCTATCCTTTGCAAGCAGACTTCTCAATCAAGTTTACTGGCAAGCCTGGCGCTTGCGTGCTTTGACAACAGCCCAAGCAGTGGAGAGGTTTAGACTATACAGGTTTATGTACACACTCGTAAAACTACAACCCACAGGTCCCGTTTTTTGGTAAGCCAGTTTTCCTTTGTACATTGTCTTCCACCGCCCTTGGATGACCACCGCACGAAAACTAGAATCATCAATCTGACAGTGCTACCGGCTAATCACAAGTGCACTGGATGTGTAGGCAATTCCCTTTCGTTGTTCAGCTGCCACCCTTCTATCAAATCCTGTCACCCCATTGAAAAATGCGTATCTGGTTGCTGCAGAGTGGATGGATAACTCAGAAGGGCTTGTGCAGTTCCGTCACAATAATAGGGATCTTTTGGCATACAACCCTCCTTTCCCTGTTCTTTGCGGGTAATTTTAAGGGGAAAATTTATTAGATAAAACGTCTTGAATTTTGAAAAAGACTAGTTTTTTTCGCCTGCTGAAGCCTTCTTTAATTCGTTCTAATCTCGTAGCTCTCAGATTTTGTCTTGTATCCATGTTGAAGGGTAGTTTTGCTCATTCTGTTTTTTCCCCTATGCATTTAGGCATCCATCATCTATCCGGACGTAAGTGGTGGTCTGTCCTCGGGTGTTTGCAGTCTTGCACTGACATCCTCACAAGCGCCCGTGGGAACGAAGGCCTCTTCGAATCATCCAGCACCTCTGCTTGCGACAATCTGTGACCAGCCTAGTTGGGGCGCTCTGCGAGTGTGGCGCACGGATCCCACTCAGGGTGATGATGACTGCCCCCTATTCGAATCCATACCACCCGGGGCACAAATCAGAGATCGTAGATGCAAGAAAAAGAAGCCTACTCAACACAACCACATCGACTCTACCGCATCACTCACTGACGACCTGTTCGCGGAGGACAACCACTGTGGCACATGCCGCGTGCGATTACAGCCGTATGCACTGGCCTCTTGTTCAATTTTTACCTCCGGCATAACACCGCCGCCTTCACCAACCACACACAGTGTAACGGCAAACAGTGTTTCTGTAAGTTTCTGGTGTCTGTTTAGTTCAAATGGACTGGACCGATAAACTATCAGCTAAACACCAACCCAGCAAGCTTAGGTCTATTGTGACCGTGAATCTCGCACCTTGACTTTTCGTCTGAACTTTACGACTGGAAAAACTATTAGTACCTTTTATCACCGATTTTTATACCAGGGTAGCGGTTTGCATTTCCAATGTCTGTTAAGGTACTCAATCGTTTTCGCCATCAATTAAGTTTCGGAATATGCAAGGTATCGATTGTAACGGGGTTTGGCCCGAAGTACACCGGTCATCCACATTACTTTGTACAACAGACTTTTCCAAGGGAGACCTTCATCAGGGGTCCACCAGGGCGATCCACATCAACCACTGTCTGTTGTGTTGCTCGTTCCCCGAAGACAATCCAACTTACTCCCTTTCCTTGGGGGGCTTTCTCTTAGATGGGATTATTGCACATACGTAATCTGCAAAGCGAAATTTTCAGCAGACTGTTCGTTATCGAGCGCTGGCGTGAACGTCACAAAGTTTATTCAACCGAATGAAACGGAAGCGTACAATAATACTGATCGACCGTACATGATGCACAGTTAGAGTTAGGTAGGTGCGTTGGTCTGTCCTTGACGAGAATGTTCGCTGGTTTTCCAAATTCCAGTGATTCAAGCTGTCGTAAAAGGCGATAATTAATTGCAATCGCACCGCTTTTATTTGCGCAAGTTTAAGTCTCAAGGGAGTCTGTCCTTGACGAGATTGTTCGCTGGTTTTCCAAATTCCAATGATTCAAGCTGTCGTAAAAGGCGACAATTAATTGCGATTGCACCGTTTTTATTTGCGCAAGTTTAAGTCTCAAGGGTAGATGACATCTGTCTCTACAGAACCGATGAAAAGATTATCGATAAATGACAGTATTGATGTCAGCATAGAGATTTTTAGCCAAAAAGTGTCTCGTTCAGGTGTAGCACCCTTCGATGCCTAGCTGCCTTACCACCCGAAGGAAGCACAAGGTTTGAGATACCACCAGGTTGCCTCATCCTAGACAGAGGCAATCGAACCACGAACCTCGCGGTGCCCCATCCTAAACAGAGGCAATCGAACCACGAACCTCGCGGTTAATGAGTCCCCCGTGCCATCCCGAGCCATCTGTAAATCGCACACTTTTCCACAAAATGCTGGGAGATTGGACGTGTAGTTATTCTACTGTTCTCTAACCAAACCAGTAGATGTCCACACTCGATCGGTTTTCTCATAGTGTATTCAGTAATCTTGCTCAACACGAACGGGGTCAGTTTCCATCCCCCTTTACGACTCAGACTTTCGGAAACAAAAATAGATTGTTCGCGGTCTCCATCACCTTGATGCATGCATCCCAAAACCCTTGTCAAGGACCGCTGATCAGCAACTCTCCACGCCATGTTCTTCACACATAGCTCGTGAACAGTTTAATCTCACTGGTATTTCTGACCCCAGCTGTGAATTTTGCAGCTACTCATCCGTCAGTATACACTCGTTTCTTTCAGTTTAGTGCCCTTTATATCGTCCAGCTGTAACACCCTTTCGGCGCCTGACTGCCATGTCACCCAAAGGAAGCACAAGGGTTGGTTGCCCAAGCCTAGACGAGGGAGGTCGAGAGACATTTGTCGGATTTGAATCACGGACCTTCCGGTCAGTAAATTCGCGCCTCAGCCACTGAGCCATGTCACCCCGGTGCCTTTCATGCCGCTTTTGTGGTAAATCTGGAAATAACCTCAAGAAAACAATTGTTCACTCTACACATTCCGCTTGCAATGTGATAAATGGAAATTTTCGATGGGTGCGAAGTTCTTAGAGCTAGCCAATCAAAGTCATTACAAATTGCTTGTCCGAATTCATTGAATTGAGATTTAAATTAGGCTCCATGTTTCCAAATTTCTACTCTAAATTGATCTGCGCAACTTTTTTCCAGTTTATGCTTTCAACTACTTTTCCCCAAATTTATGCAGACAAGTGACCACAACTCAATACGATCCAGCTACCGCTTTAAACATTGTCAGTTCCTAAAGGCCATGTACCAGTCTCGTTTGGGGTCAGAGGACTCGTCATCCTCTTCAACAGCTGACTCACCTAGCATCACACCGCACGAGTCCCCCATTTACTTACTCGCCACAACTATTCAGCCTCTGTGTGCCAATCGAAAGAGCGTAAGCCGTCTTGTAGTGTGGCTTGTACCGGATATTTCCAAACCGCCGGGCGACGAGTCTTCGGTCAGCCTTCCGACGAAGATGGACGAATCTAAACCTACCATGCTAACCAGTTTTGCGGATGTGGCTCTACCTCAAGGCCATTTGCCAGCATGCATGAGTGTTCATCCAGGTCGATGTCGGTGTCTCATCGGAGTCGGTACAATGGATGGACGCGTGGATGTCTACTTGTACGTGATTCGTCCAAGATTTTTTTCTCATGTTTTTGCTTTACTAGATCACATGTCTAAATGTTTTGACATTTTTCTCCGGAAATATGTGTTGGTTGTATCCATTTCAGGGCTTCTGAAGATTACAAGGCTTTGAGATTAGTGTTTTTCTTGAAGAAGTTTACAAGTCAACCCAGGTCGATGACGACAAAGAACTCAGAGTGTGGTTTTGTAGTAACCCAACTCCCGAATTTCCGATCGGGGATTGAAATAACGGTATTTACCGAGCTTATTTTCGGTCTGAACCTTCCAAGAAAGCGCTCGCGTCAAAACCACCACCGAAGGTGCACAACGTGTAGTAACGCCAAAAAGAAGGTCTTTTATAAAGTCCATACAGCGACAACATCCTGGAAATCTTGACGCCTTCTGGATGCGATATTGGCAACCGGCACTCGGCAGATACTGGATCATGATTGGCTGTTGGGTCCAGACTTTTGACGAATCAGAGCTCAGCTTGTTGCTAAACCGCCAAGCGGTCCGATCTTTTAGCCAATCGCGTGTGGGATGGGTTTCTTGGCTGTAACAGTGCCCAACTGCGAGCAATAAGGCGGTATCGGTGCGGAATTCCACCTAACAGGGATATTAAGCATACAATGAATGCCTCACGAAATGATCATCGTTACGGAAAACAAAAGTGGTAAGAGTAATCTTTAACTCGTACGCTTGGATGTAGAGCGTGTTCGGAGCGTCAAGATTACTTTGGATACGGTCGTACAGTCAGCTAAATCCCGTCGTTTCCAATAACTGTTTAGGTATTGAGCAAGTGGGATGTAGTCAATTTATTCTCGTTCGGAACGAATGAGCCGTATGGTGAGGACGCGGGGCTTGACCAATTCTTTTGGGCTTATCTGAAACGGTAAATTGAAAACCGTTTAAGAGTAGACTTTCAGGATTGCTTAATCTCTTTTGGAGCGTTGGTGCGCATTTTTCGACGTTTAAGCCCTTACCTGAGCATTTGTCACGTTTGTAGAATTTTCTATCCGTATTAACTTCGTTCGACGCTTTAGTTCTGCCGCGGCGCAGTTGTTCCAGTTATTCCAGACAGCAAACACTGGACTCGAGTTCCGCTCTCATTGGTTCGGAAGTGCTCGAGCATGCATAAGTCGGTGCAGTAGAGTGCCACACAATTTAGTTTGTTCCTAAATGTCGTTTGCCCTGTTCAACTGTGAACCGTGCGTTTGAGTCTGGTGGTTCTTGTCCCCGCAGTGCAGTCATCGATAAAGAACAGTGAAAGGAAGATCGAGTGTGAAGGTCGAAACGGGAATGCTAGGTTCCGGGGCTTAAGCCAATTGCGCATCGCTAACTTCGTGATTAAAACGAATCGGGTCTTCAATCACCGCCTGCGTGAGACTTTCTACCTTCATGCTAACATGCACCAAAGTGGCTAAGACGCTTAGTGGTTGATTGCTGCCTCCTGCCCGCCTCACATGTGACTTTGTTCTGCGCAAAGCCTGGTGGCGTAAATGACGGTGGCATAGGTAAACGGTCTTCGGGCGTGCATATCATGTTATCGAGACAGCACAAATGGTTTCGCCACATTTCAGCTACGTTTAACTCTAAAATGGTTCTGAAGGGAAGTAAAAATAAGTAGATCTTTTGTTAGGTCGTTTTTTATTGCAAGTGATTCATTTTGACAGTGGACGTTTTCTATTTACCAGACCTCTGGAGGTTCTTTTCTTAAATTCTTTGTTCTTCTTTTTCAGTTTATCTCGACGGAATCGAACGCTAACCTGTGTTTATTCAATGAACAATGCCCACCCCATATTTGTCACTGCCCTCACCTTTCTCCCACCATTTCCTTGGCCAGAGATCAATGCTGGTAAACCAAAGTCGAAGTACCCTGCTGTGGAAAGTGAGGAATCTTTTGAACTAGTTAGTGTCAGCGTAGATCGTGCTTTGCGTTGGCACCAAGGTCCGAGCTATGCTCGTATTGGCAGACTTGCTCGCTGTCTATACGATCCTGAAAGCCGATCCTTATGGAGCCGATACGCCCTTCCATTGCTATCGGCCTTGGTCTGTCTCATCTTCGTTTTTCTAATCCCCATTCATTTGGCAATAATTGACGCTGCTCTGATATGGTTTGTCTGATGTTCCTCCCCATAGACTCTCCCCTGTACACCCTAGTACATTCTTTACCAGTGTCTCTACCCTGGAAACCACTGTCTTTCAATAATAACAGGTCTACGTTGCCCCTCAAGCGATCTATCGTCCATTTTGACCGAACTTGTTCGCAACTAGACCTGTCTTACTCTCCACCGCGTCAGGTGTGTGAAGCTGTTTTCTCTACCAGCCATTCGACGCTTTGCTTAGCGCATTGTCTGTCGATCTACCACTCTCTGTGATGTTGGTTACCCTGGTTTTGCAGCTAAGAAGTTCTTTCACTTCATTGGGTAGTTCTTGTAGCCTTTATTGGGGGGTGGTGATTCTTCCGAGGTAGTGGATATACTTTGTATAAGTTCGCTTTGTGTAGCTTCTACTACATATTGACGTAACATTGTCTATTTATCCTGAGTCCGGTTAATCGCTCATTTTTAAGAGTACAGAGCCCAGTGGACTCTGAGATGCTTTTAGTCCCATGTCAGTGTGTATTCACATCCATTGTTATCGGGTCTCGTACAGTAGACACTGAGGCTATCAGCGCCACAAACCCCGAAAGTTGTGCATCGCGTGACGAAAGTTCGAGGCCTTGAAACATTTCCTAGATAATGGAATGAAATGAAGCACTTGACATGTTCAGGCAGGGGCAAACACAGAATTTGCAGGCGTGAACGGGCATGAAAACCTATAAGCGGGAAATAATTGTGACAAATTTCCGAACTACTTCAAACCGCTGTTCCCTCGGGAAAATTGTTGATGGTGTAATCGGATCTCTTCCTCTGATATAATCTGCAAACACTTTGCAATACTTTTATAGGGCTCCAGGTTCGCTCGGTTTTAACATCCTTTCGATGCATTGATACCATTCTACTCGAAGGAAACACAGAGGTTGAAATACTGCCAGGATGTCCAAACCTAGACAGAAGCAGTCAAGATGCAGAGGTTGATTTCGAACCACAAACCTTCCGATCAGTAAGCTGAGCCATACTCACTATGGTATCTTGCCATTGTACCCACGCACCCGAAGGGTCCTCGTTCCAGCTGGGACCAGAGCCGTAATTTGATTCGCCCAACACTCACGGGACTTAGATTTTCGATTCTTGACCATCTGAGACGTGAATCGCTCAAATCAACTGTTCTTCGTTTCGGGCTACTGGCGATCATGGGTGACAAAATTGATTGTTTCAGTGTTTGAATGTCGGAGCATGGGTACCCTTCGGTATATCCACTTGTGAAAGGTACGGTGGCTTCATTTTAACAGAATACATCAGTGACAACGCGAATATCTTCTAATCAGTGTATACTCTCTGAATTCACCCCTATATATTTCATACAAGCGACTCACCGTATAATGGGACTAGCTTTTTCTTGTGGCCGGAAATCCTCTGCGGCGTCAAGATCTCTCACTGACTTAAACTTCGGAACAACTCCGAAGGATACTTTATGAGAGTGATATGTTGGTCTAGACTTGACTCTCCCAGTTAGGGGTCTCGTGAATCAGATTGAACACCTCAAGAGACTACACGGATCCAGATATTGCCGGAATGATCTAGCCAAAATTGCAAATATTTGAATGTTAGGCATCTTTTCCGCATACTTACTTTCATCGCTCAGAAGTAGCGCACCATTCATAAGGTTATTGAGAACTCTTCGAGAATCCACAACATTTTTCGTCCTTCTTAAGGCGTAGCCCCCGATTTAACGTCGACCGTTCGTTCTACTTTAACGCAAATTGCACGGAATTCGACAACTACTCGCTGAAACCAAGCTGAATCTCTCGTTTCTGATGTCCCTTATCAACTGAAGCACGGGGATTGTGCTTACCCGTGATGAACCCCAAGAAGGGCGAAACCCGTCATGGGTTGTCGAAGGTTATTCAGCACCCCGTATGAGCAGTATGTTACGTCTAGACAAGAGATTACAACATCTCGAATATCGTACCAACGAAATTGAGGCGACCTAGTTCAGCACATTCATTTGAAGAACATCATAGTCGGGTGATTCAACTGGGTTTCAGGTGAGCCCCTCGTGATAACCGAATCGGTATGCAAATGGGTGTTTTGTCTGACACAACTGCGTTGTATATTCCTTAGGTGACTTGGGTATCGCCTCTTCAGGATATTGACGAATGTTGAGTGCAGTCAACCAGGATGAAACTGGAATGTTAGGGAAATATTAAAACGCTCTACTTGGTTTCCATTTTTTAACTGGTCGGACCTCGAGGGGTTATTGTACATGTCCAACTTTCAGAAGGCGATATCGAAGGAAGTCCGCTGCGACGACCCAGTTTGCGGTCACTTCGGAGCGAGGCTGAATACCTATTATCTCCTTGATGGTTCGCCGTACTCGTACTACGCCGAGCACAACTGAAGTCACACTGACCTGTACACCATGTGTGGTCACGTGCCTGAGTTGAGTCGGCTTCGCTGGTCACTAAGCTTGCACATTTATACTCAGAGTTTCGGTTGCCGAGAGTGAATTTGCCTCAATTTCTGGTCATCACGTGGCCTGTACTGTTGTCATGCCACCAGGTTACACTACCGCTAACCATTCAACGGGTGATATCCCGCATGAAAATTCATTCCCACTTAGATGAGGCGGTAATGGACACCCTCCTAAAGCATCGCAGTTATTTTTCGGGAGAAATGTGTTATTCCGTTGCAAAAGGTGGTATGCACTGGCACTCATCGTTTCTCCATTATGATGGCTGTCAACAAGTCTCTTCGTGTTCGCGTCATCATCTACCAGTGTAACGTTGATACTACTGATGGGGAGGCATGCGAGTAGTATGTTTTGTTCTTGTAAATTCGCTTTGCGGCTTTTGAAAAGGGAGATCTGTTGCGGAATTTGTGGAGTCAGTTTGTAGTATTTACTTGGATTCGAGCAATGAATGATTGGAGTCAATCAATATCCAGGAAAGTTCAAGGGGACGCGTTCAGGAGAAGATGGATGCCCAGTTTTTGTAAATAAGATGCAAATGAGGGTTTTCCTTTCCTGTCCAATAGTCTGTTACTGATCAGTTGGCATTTTCTAATAAATAACTCCGCAGCTAAGGCCTTCTTCCTTTCACCAGTATATTCAATCGGTGTCAATCGACGCAGGTCATGAAACGAATGAATTTCAGCCTACCCCACACCTTCATTAGTCACATCTGAAACACTTGTCTGTTCCAAACATCCTTTGCTAAAATGCAGCGTCACCATACTTCGAATTTAATGAGATTATATACAATAAGAACTATTTCGACCACGTTTCCGGCGACTTCGATTGCGCTCTCTCCTGCTTTTTCCCGAACGCGTCGCAGCTGCACCGCACAATTAAGACGATGTGTTTTCATTTTTTGCTTATTATGTCAGATATAAAAACCATATGCTCAGCTGTTCGAGAAATGTCTCTCATGTTCTGTACCGGTAGGAGTTACCAAATATAGGATCCCAATAAGATGTTGCCTTTGTGTAAAACACATTTGATTTTGCACGAAACGGAAGAAAAGGTGCAAAATTATGTTGAATAGGACAATGGAATAGCACAAAATCACCAGACCGTATGCGTGGAAGGTGAACGGTTGTATTTGTGCCCAAGAGTCCAAATGTATAGCTAAAGAATTTATGCCTGCAAGTGTTGATCGATCGTTTGGCGTGTGACTGAATGGGATGACTATTCGTGTGTCTTGCAGCTGACAAGGAAAGGTGTATTTATCAGGTTATCTAAGTTTCATGCGGTTTGTACGTTCACCGGTTGAGTGCTCGGTTTGGGGATACTGTTCAAAGCTAAGATCGGACCCGATACTTCCCTGGCTATGTTTGTGCGAAATCAATCGATGATTGAGAGAGGCATACGACAGATCCGATTCCGCCAATGAGAAGGTAGACTGCACGAGAAAAGAGAGGACGTACGGTCACATATAGCATCAACCCACGGAAAACGGTTTGAATGTATACCAGGAATGGCTGATTTCAGAAATTCAAAATAAAAACACCCCCTCCAATGGATGACCTATTTCGTTCCTCAGTTGCACCAAAAATTCCGACTGGGATGAGTTAGCAAGATTAGGTAAACTGTATTCCAAAACTTACTGTATGTTTCAATGAAACGAGGCAGATATTTTATGCAGTCATTGGCAAATTCACATGGTGTTAATGGATGACTCAGCTGAACATCAACTGATTCTCTTCAACCGAGCATTATTACAACAACAAAAAAATCGCTATTTTACCTGTCGTTCTGACTGAAAAATTTACCTTTCTTTGTATAACCCATTCACTCGAAGATTATCGTACACGAGAGATTAGGCTACTATTCATTTGAGTCTCCCATCAAGTTAATTCACAAATGAGTGTTTCTCAGTTTACAGGTAAAATCTGATGTTCAGGTGAGAGGTAAAATAGGTGGAAGCTTGTGGTCTATAGCTAATTGATGAGTCCGAGGAAAGTGGAAACCTGTTGTGGGCCAGCGAAGAGTTTTCAGCAACCGTATAAACGGCACTGAATCACGAGCTGCAGCTTTTGTTTTCAGCTTGAAAGCGTGAGTGATAATACCGGTAAATAAAGTGAAGAGACCACACACACACACACTGTTGCTGGAAACCCCTCGATAGCCGACGACCAGTCCCTAAGTTCCCGTCAACCTGGTGTTCTGCTCCAACCCAAATTACACGAAATTCGACAATTGCACTCACTCATTTGTTTACCCATTTGGTTTTCATGGGAGATTCATCTGAATCCCTCGTTCTTCAACTGAATGTGAATGGAGAAGTAACATTATAGGCGAGGAATTCAACTGGTATTCAGATGGGTCTTTCGTGAAAACCAAATCAGTCTATTCGTCGAATGTGGTAGTAAGCTTCCTAGTCAACATACGAACGCTTGTTGGCCATCCAGATTGTCAAAAGTGTGTTAGAACCTCGTAAAGCGTTGCAAAAAATATTCAAAGACGTATGGATCACCAACGACATTTATGAAAAAAGTTGATGTGGAGGTCCAGGATACCCTTAGCCTGAGAATAGTTGGCAGATAGACAGCACCCGAAAATTGGGATGCACAGGGACGGATAAATTTGTTTGGTAAAATGTAACGGGTTTTTTATTTGTACAGGATACGATATAGTCCCTCTAGAAAAGCCAGCATCAGGGGGGACCACACGTAATGGTTGTTTCTTTATCTCATATTACGACAAGAAAATCTATTCCGGAGGAGAGTAACTCTTACAAGTGATCGAATTTTGATCTATTCATCTTTCCATCGTGGGTGTTACATGATGTGCATATTTTAGGCAATCAGATACCCGCCACAAATCAGGCCACACATTGGGCTTAATTGCATCCCTGCCGTTTGATGCCAGAATGCCTCCAACTTCATCAGATAGTTAATACCAAGATCATAAAACTCTAGGCAGATAAGAACAAACTGTAGTTGACGCACACAGTTATTAGGTGGAGGCAAAAACAGGCACACTGACCACTGCGGTGACGGCAATCTCCCCAGTGTGTCGATTTGGATGAACAGCCAGACTACTCGCAAGTAGTCAAAAGCTTCGCCAGCTGTTGGTTGGAAGCCACTAGTCAGACTCACTGGTCGAATGTCGTGTGGTCGCTAATTGACATCAACAGGTTGCATGACCGAAATCTTATCGGTTTAAAAGTGAGGAAACCGGAGCTTCAGAGGCATCAGTAGACCCTAACAAATGTGGAATTTGGATTCTTTTTGTTGTATGTAATAGTGAGTAATGTGTCACCACAAATGCCCCACTGGCTCAACAGCAGCACCCATGGACTTATTGCTTCAAACTGAGCACCATTTTCTAGGCATAACTGTTCCCTTGGGTTCAATAAGTACACACTATTAGGAGTGAGTCACATAAATAACTGAGCTGGATATTTGTAGTTCCTATGGCCTAGCTGGTTGGCTAACAAGCCGGAACCAGTCGAGACAGGACAATTGTTCAAGTCCAATCCCATATGAACTTTTGTCAGACAAGACAGATAGATAAGAGGCGCAAGAAGAAGAACGACACGTTGACATGGAAGATATGAGTTTTAATGGTGACGGTCCTGTTCTAGAGCTGGTCATCTTGTAAGTCCGAACGTTCCTGCATGTCAGAATGGAAAAATGACGATAGCGTTTTGCCCAACCTTGTTACGAGTAACTGACACTGACTGATGTTCCACAAACGTCAACCGAGATGATTTTTTAAAAAGGTAGGGCTAATAGGAAATGTGGGTCAAATGGCGACATTTTGGTAAAGCACGCGTCTCACAGGTGCGACACCGATGCAACTCGACTCACCTGTTGTTGCCGCAGAGTAAAACCACCGCCAGGCGGTTAGCATTGGACTGGGATCAACAAGCATTGTGTCGTAGCCACTGGGTACCAGGTCACCTAGGCCTACGGTCGTCATGGATATCACGCAAAAGTACACAGCATCCATGAAGGACCATCCATGTTCGATAAGGTAGAAGGCGACTGCTGGGAGAATTATTGTGATGAGGAGGTTCAGGAAGGTAACCAGTGCGCAATGAAGAAGACGCGCTCGAAACAGACAGCTCTTTTTGCGCTCCAAACGAAATGTCGATAACGGGAGACCAGTGACTAACGCTCGGTCAAATTTGGATAGCTGTAGTAGATTCAGATAAGTAAGAAAAATGCATGAGATAGTAACAGAATCTAAATCTAAGAGCTTTGTGCTGAAATCGTTGTTCTAAATTTTCATTCCGAGTGCTCTTTCAAAGCAACTGCCTGTCAGTCAGATTTGCATGTGGGTCTGGCGAATGGAAGTTAGTATTGTGAAAGGCTGATTAGAAAAATGGCATTAGAAAAGGCATAAAAGTCGGTAATGGACGGTTTCAGTCTCTGCGGACGCTTCACCGGTAGTGACCGGACTTCTAGAATGGACCTAACGGTATTTATGTCCCGGAGATTTTCCAACTCGAGCAGCCACGAAAAAAATCAGGTTTCGGTGCGCGATCAAAATTGTAGTGCCGTGGACCATATAAAGGGTGTTGTGCCAGAGTGTGTCCATTCGTCATTCCACAACCGTGCTGGAGTGTGACTTCAGTGGCTGATTGGATGCGTGTCCAGTTGGTTTGCACGCGCGCGTGTCCGATTGGTTTGCACGAGTGCGTGTCTATCGTTCAATGCATGAGACAGCTGTTTGTTGGATGACTGGACATGTGACTTAGTTGTTTGCTTACCCGTTCCAGGCGGACCTAGTTGGTCGCCTGTTCTCAATACACTCGGGTCCTTAACCACGTGGTTTCTGAACCTACAATAGAGGGATTTCAGGTTGGTCGTTCCTTGAAATTGAAGACGTGAGTCCTGTTAGGAAGGCAACTCCATTAAGGGTAACTTTATCAGAGGGAGATAAAAATGGTAGACCTTCTGGTGGATCTATGTTTTATCACATTCGACAACAGGTAATAGGTCACTAAGAATCGCAATGCTGCAGCCTTAGTGTAGTTCACTTCTCCCTTTTCCCTTTCCGATAATTTTCAAGCGAAGGAAAATTTCTGTTTAGGTTTCACCTCCACACGTTTTGAAAACGTACACATCCAAGGTCACTTGAAACTGGTTTGCTCACATTTTCTTTGCATTCATTTGTCGACCAGTGAAATGGACTTTTCTCCAGAGTAAGTGGGAAGTTAACCAAAGCAAATAATGAGTAAGGCTAGGGCTTGGATTTCGAAAATTGGATTCGATGTGTAAGTGGATGAAAATTTACCTTGGAAGAGAACGTCCTCCACTCATCTTGTTTGTGTCATCTTGAATTGGACACTTTAGGTGGAAGGAGCATGACAAATAAGATATACTTGTAGTTGCCTGATTCTACTGTCTGGGGGCAAATCCCTAACCAAAAAGGCACGTGATCGCTCAGATCATATTCATCCGGTGAGTTTGACTCAAAACGGAACAGATGATGGATCCAGGGTAACAATGGCATTAATAACAGGAATAATAAAAATTCACATCGTGCAACCATTTATAAATGATCAAACGAAGAATCCCCAACGGGTGTCGAAGGTTTTCTACGCTGCCTGCTTGCGAGCACCTTAGCAGCGGACCGGTCGATCGGCACACTCAGGGCAGTTGCTGAGTTGTTTTTCGGAACTTTGGTGAACTTGCGAACGTGTTCGGTCGTAACGACTCACATTCACTGCTTATGTGTTGACGGTTAACTGTTAAGGCATCAGTAGCCCAGAATTCCGGCTCACTCAAGGATAATTAGTGAAGACTGATTTCCAATGAGTGTAACCTTTGATCAGACCAGGACAGGAAAAGAGTGGTGTTAACAGAGACTTCACCTCAGAGTAACTGTATTGAGTGCATCAGAAAATACCGAATTTCAAGAAACTGGATCCATACAAGGTGGCAGTGTGCTTGGATGTGTTTGCATAACAAGATTCGGTCATAGTAAAAACAAAGTCTTACCAAAAAGTGCATCATTGCGAGGAAGGATATTCTAGCGAAAGATGCTCTCGACGTGATTATACTGTGCTGCAAATAATCAGACTGGTCGAATTCCGAGTGTTGTGGATCTGTGATCGTTTGTCCATGGTTGAATGACATGGTTCTTGTTCTCAAGGACGCGCGTGGCTGTGCTGGTTTAGAGGGATGTCCGGACGTTGTCTCTGTTGTTGCTGGGTACACGTTGGACATATTACTGGATCCATTGTTTGGTATACTAGGTGACTGATCCGCCTGTGGTTGATTTCTGCCAAGTGCAGGTAATGATCCGTTTGATTTCGGTGAGATCGTAGGAACAATCAGGTAATTTGGGTCGGGTGATTCTGTCCAACGGTGTGCACCCAATTCCAGCCTGTCTGGACAAGAGTAACTCCGCCTCAATAGTCGATCAGTTGTAAACAAAACTCCCTTTATTCTTGATTCCGACAGAGCCGTCGGTAGATTTTTTCTCAGTTCAATAGATATTGGGGGTACCATCGCGTTGGCGCGTTCTGCTCTGAACACAGGTGGCTCTGTAGTTGCATCAGGATGATCACTGTATTTAGAGGACAGTGATTGGTTGTAATGAAATACCGTGCTAGGCTATACCACACCATACTATACTTTACCAACCACACTATAATACACCATGCTACACTATAAACAGGCTATACTATATTTTACTGCACTATACGGGACAGCGCCATAGCATACTTTACTACTGTTTCACTATACTATACTACTATATACTATACCATAATATACTATACTATAATGTACTATACTATACTGTACCATACTATACTATCCTATCCTATCCTATCCTATCCTATCCTATCCTATCCTATCCTATCCTATCCTATCCTATCCTATCCTATCCTATCCTATCCTATCCTATCCTATCCTATCCTATCCTATCCTATCCTATCCTATCCTATCCTATCCTATCCTATCCTATCCTATCCTATCCTATCCTATCCTATCCTATCCTATCCTATCCTATCCTATCCTATCCTATCCTATCCTATCCTATCCTATCCTATCCTTACTATATACATACCATACTATTCTCTACTATACTATAAAGTTTGTTCATTTATAATCCACTGCACCTCTATCATATCCAAAGTCTGCCCAACGAGAAGTTGCCAAAAATCAAGCCAAATTACCAATGTATCACTGTGAACCTAAGCCGTTAGGTGATGAAACTCCATCCAAAAGCCTGGAGGATAGAGAACGGAGAACGAAAGCATTCACTGAATACCGGACTATTTTTGCGGTCATTACACGATCTTTTGAAATACATACATGGGTTTATCATGTAAGATGTCCTACATAATGAATCAGAGTACTGGAATCTCGGTTGCATTGTTTAACAGCTTATCTGGTCGCCGAGTTAGGTGATTGGCTTGCATATGTTTTCTCATCATACCGGCAGACATTGTTAGTACGCGTTCCGGATATCGAAGAGGACAAATTCAGCTGGGATCAAATCTGTATACTGGGCCAAGCAGGAACAAAGTAGAGGTGTTACTTTATGGAAGCATGGTACTCTGTCTAGAATTCCGTCAACAGTTGCATTTACATTCACGCGCTCTATCAACCTCAAGCTCAAAACTACACAAAAACAGGAAGGAAATGACCAGAAAATACAAAAAAAAACGCAAAACTGGACAGGTAAAAGCTAGCCTCAAGCACAACATGGATTACCACCTCAGAGGGCTAGCCATCACAAACGAATGGAAAGAGGAACCACGCAACATAAAAAAACAGCCGCAAGATATGTTTACATTCAAGAAAATCAGACCAAGACTCAACAGAATTCGAGAGCGCACCAATCAAATAGAAGGAAGAAGATTGCTAAAAATAGGAGGCAGCCAGGTGACTAGGTTTCAGAAAGCCGGACTTGGTGCAGTAATAAGAAACGCAGACAGGTCAAACGAAAGGAAGGAACAGAATTATTGAAATAAAGAAGTCCAGCGAACCAACCGGATGAGGTAAATTGGACCATAACGCCGCGCGGATTCTACAAGGACCAATCAAATCACCTGCAAGCAAAACTGCAACTACCATTCGAACCAGGTCTATCAAATACTGTTTGGAGACTATATAAACGTAACTAGAGTAATCCCACTTAACCAAGTACTAACGGTGTCTCCTCGTATAATGCCAGAACGTTTGTAGGCTAATTACGAAGCTTGAAGAAAAAATAACTTGCCGGCTGATCACCAGCCAATTTACCGATTTACTGTTGTTGGACTAGTTCGTATTGTCAAGCCTGATAAGGTGAGACATCTTTGGCAATTTATCATGTGGCAAACAAGTGCGCACGTCTACTAGTGTAACGGTGATACTACTGACAGGGAAGGCATGCGAGTAGCATGTTTTTTTATTGTAAATTCCTGTGGCATCTTTTGAAAATAGAGGGCTATTGCGGAATTTGTTGAGTCGCTTTGCAACATTTGCTTGAATGTGAGCAACAGTCAATGGATGACCAGGAAAGTTCAGAAAGACGCGCTCAAAGAGAGGACGGATATTCAGTTTTTGTGAACCAGATGCATGTGAGAGTTTTGCTTCCCCATCCAATAGTCTGTAACTGGTCAGCTGGCATTTTCTAATGATTAACTCCGCAGCGAAGGCCTTCTTTCTTTCACCAGCATAAAGCTTTTCTTTATGAGCGAATGCGCTAATTTTTGATTTACGCGGTACTTTGTGCATAGGCAAGTAGTTGTAAAGAGCATTTTTTGAACATTCAGCAGCACATCTGTAGGAAGGGCTCTTGGCGATTTGAAAAATTCTCTTGTTCACCCCAAATTGCCAAAAACCCCTTCAGACGTCTCAACCGGATCTTATTGTTTTGTTGTCCACTAAATCACAGCTTGTGATTGTAACTGTGTGGCAGTCATTATGTTACAGTCACAGATCCCTAAGGTAAAGTACAAACAGTCGACAGTGAGAAGCGACAACGCTGTATGGATTGAATTCACTTACATTAGGAACGAAATTAAATGCTCAGGCCAACGAAGCTATTTTGCTTGCGGCTGAACAGAATAATAATAGCTCAGGTTGTAACGATGGCCGATGGTTTTTTGCTGGGTGAGTGGAGCTTATATCAAGCCCTGCATGTGCCTTAAAGGCTCACTCCCACTCACAACGCATTGGTGATGCCATCTTGACTCTTGACGAAATGTTTGAAGCCAAACTTCCCAATGGCTAGGCCATGTTAGCGCTGACTCTAGTTTCAGACCCTTTTGGATGTGTAGCGGGGAAATTTTGAGTTTGCCGCGTTACTGCTTTAGCCTGGTTGGTTCGGAGTGACCGGATGGTTGGTTGAGTTTGATGAGGGAGGGTGGAAACTGATTCAAACATTTGGTATTCGGGCGCGCCGTTGGTTAGTATAACTCGCCTCAGTTGACACAGAAGACAGTCCTAGCCCTGTGCTTCTAACGTATGCTCCTAAATGGCAGTATCAAGTTTATAGAATATCAGTCGGCCCAGACCTAGATACTCCTTCACTTAATGAAAATACTCCCTACTTTCTGCAACTCGCTTTTTTCATCTCAGGTTAGTCGGACGCATGCATTCTGTAAACTCACCTAAGTTGGTCATCATCTAAGTAAGTCATCATCATCATCATCATCATCATCATCATCTGTAAGAACTGCTTGCTAACCGTGCAGTAGTTCTAGCTGTCACANCCCCCCCGCTTGACAACTCACTGACAGTGCTGGATTTATGCACCAATTTACCAGCTCGCGCGTGCAATGCGCAGCTACTTACCCCCCAATCATCGGTGAACGAAACTGTGGCAGCTACAACCAGTGTACGACCAGTACGCGGTTATTACAGCTGATAATGATGATGATGATGATGATATTCGGGCGCGCCGTTGGTTAGTATAACTCGCCTCAGTTGACACAGAAGACAGTCCTAGCCCTGTGCTTCTAACGTATGCTCCTAAATGGCAGTATCAAGTTTATAGAATATCAGTCGGCCCAGACCTAGAATACTCCTTCCTTAATGAAAATTCTCCCTACTTTCTGCAACTCGCTTTTATCATCTCAGGTTAGTCGGACGCATGCATTCTGTAAACTCACCTAAGTTGGTCATCATCTAAGTAAGTCATCATCATCATCATCATCATCATCTGTAAGAACTGCTTGCTAACCGTGCAGTAGTTCTAGCTGTCACAGTTTCTTTCGTGGGAAGATTGGAAAGGTACCTATGCACTGAGGACAATATCTTGGATGCATGAGCGCCAGTGAGGGCTCGACTGAGCCATAACTTCAACCAGTAATGTAGCCAGTCTCGGGTATTTGGTGTGATCAGGAGGCGAAATATAGAATCGCATGAATATCTCACTCCAAATTCCTCTGACTGAGTGCCAGATTTGATGACTTTGCCTAAGTTTGGCTGACCAGATTCCTTGTCACCGATGTGCTTGTCGAAAGCCCTTGTATTCTTGCTAACCTATGCACAAATTACTTTAGTAATTGATCAGCTGGCTGTTGATCTGTTCACCGAGCTTGGCAATTGATTTGCAAACGTTTCGTCACCGTTCGGGGTGACATCTTCAGTGCGCTGTTGCTTGGGTAGTCCCTGGATGCGTTCATGTAGTTTACACAGGCAGTTTACGCAGGCTCAAAGAGAGGGACTACGCAAGCAACAGCGTACTGAAGATTCACCCCAAATGGTGAAAAAACGTTTGCAAATCAAGTGCCCAGCTCGATGAAAAGATCAACATCCAGCTGATAAATTACCAAATAATGCACCCGAGCTACCAATATAGCAGCACAAATTACCTTATATTTGTATGTTCGGTAATGCGAATGAACCGAAGTGAAATGGAATCCATATTGGTGTGTGTGCTGAGGTCGTTTAAAACGTGATAGTCACCGAAGCCAACGACAATGAAGTTCAGCCTGCTCTGAATGTATCTGAATGTATCCAGATTGATCCTGATGGCGAATTTCGCTGCTGCTTGGCGTTCCAGTGCTTTGATCAGACAATACCAATCAGAATGAGAGAGTGTTCTATGGAGGTCGAGACAAACGCCAAAAGGTTCGATGAGCCATCTAAACAGACAACTATCAGCAATGAGTCCAAAGCATTGGATCATCATCACCATCATTGTCAGCTGTAATAACCGTGTAATAGTCGTACAGAGGTTGTAGCTGCCACATTTCCGTTGACCGATGATTCGGGGAGGTGGGGTAGGTAGCTGCGCATTGGAGGCGGGAGCTGATAATTTACTGCGTAAATACAGTACTGTCAGTGGATTGCTAAGTGGGCGAATTTGGAAGGGAGCTATGCATCGAAACCAAAAGCTTGGATGCACGAGTGCCACTGAGGGAGCGACTGGGCCATATCTGACAATGTCTCTAGCCATTGATGTGGCCCGTCTCGGGGTCCCCATCCAGGAAGACGGCAGTGACCAGCGCAGCTGAGTTTGCTGGTAATGGCTTTCATACTTCGCTGCTGGCTTTCTTCCACCCTTCACATGGTTGTGCGAAAAGAGCCCTTCGAGGAGGTCGGTCGACTGGCATACGCAGCACGTGGTCAAGTCAGCACAACCTATGCAGTGTGATCAGTTCATCTGTCAAGGGTAAGTTATTTCTTCCGAAAACTATTCGACAAACCTCAGCACTACTGATCCGTGCAATGCTCCGAAGACATCGATGGTCAAACACTGAAAGTCTTTTGACGTCCTCGGCTCATACCGGGAGGTTTCTGATCCCTGTAGTAATATGGAGCGCACTCGACCCTTGACAGAGAAGCTGATGTCACACCTACGCCACAAGTGACGCCGGTTCACAAAAGATTCTTTGGCCTTCCCAATCCGGGTGGAAATACCATCTTTCGCGAAACCACCTGGGCTGATACAGCTACCCAAGTAAACAAATTTGTCCACTATCTCAATCGGTTCATCTGCAGGTGTGGGTCTAGGGTTCGAGCTCACCCAGTCTTGCAGCAGCACTTTACAATTTTCAGGCGTGAAGCGCATGCCGAACAGTGGGGCAGAATTATTCAGATTATTTAATATTGTTTGCAGTACCACGGGGTCAGAAATCCTGCTTGTCCAGTTGGCTTGGTGATGCGATAATATCAAGTTTTGGCACAACGAACTTCACAGAAGCTGATCAATAGAAGATGCACTTTTGGTTGTTTGGCCTTCGATTATGGCCACAGCACACACTATTGATTTGTTATTTATAGGGTATCATACATACTACATGTTGTTTGGGTTACTTCTTGTGGTGTGGTTTGGATGTTAGCTTGCGCTATGTCCGGTACGAATGAGTGTTCAGACTAGGTTGGCCGAACGACTCATAGTGAGAGCACTACTTCAACGACCTTGTCTGCCATATATTGACGCTGCCTTTTACCGTACACATGCAGAACTCAAGTTCAAAAATCTTCTTCAGGATCAGCAGGTGAATGGGAAAGATTCCCAGTTGTATATGTGACCACCGCATCACTTAATCTCCTCGAAGGTAAGCGAGATTTAGGTTGGAGGGTTTTTGTTCCTTTATCTTCTGTAGAGTATGATGGGATGGAAGGACAGTGAAATAGTTGACCACATGGCTTTTAATCTGCTTACTGAGCTTGGAAATTAACTTGCAAGCATTTCCTCACCAGACGAGGAGAAATTATCAATGCACTCAACAGCGCTTGTTGAGGCGAAGAGCTGAAAAGCCTCAAAGTCAATCGAAACATCCGCCTAATAGGTCATCAGCCGCCCGATCAACGTATGGTAAACAAGCTCAAGTACTTCGATAAATTGCCAAGGACCGCGGTTTAGCAAACGAATATGTAAGCTTGAATTTTATTTACTTTGTTAGTTGATCAAAAGTGCTCCACACTCATCTACGCCTTCCAGTTTAGCTCCCAAAAGCCCTTAATTTCCTACTACTTTCTAGTAGTAGCAGTAGTAGCAGTCTAGCTTATTTTTCATACTGAGAACCGCTTGCTGTGGGGTGTTTGTTTCGGCCATGCATGCCTCGATTAGAGAGTGTCGTGAATGTTTTCAACCTAAGTATTCCTAGCAGCAGTACGTGGGGTTTGAAGTATGGAGGTCTGGAATCCTACGCGTTTGACTTGACAGACATAGGCACCAGAGAAGCTCTAATTACTCTCAAACACATCCGAGTATTCAGCGGGGCAACTGACGAGCTGAAACGTTGCAGCCTCATGGCGGGATACGATTTTATTGGCTATTTGTCTGGTATAGGGGCAACTAGTGCTCAGTATCTATCCCTGGGAGATAACGGTCATCGCCGTTTTCACGGAGACAGACTGACAGTTTAGTTCACGGCTGGCCTCATTTAGGTTGATTGGGAAAAGAATTTAGTCATTCGCTTTGTAGCACTGCCTCTTCAGGGATCTACTTTTCTGACAAAAGCTCCAAGTATCTTGAGATGATAGTCGAAAACGAATGCTATCGGGACAGTATACATCTCTCACCGCACATTCCCTCGTCCACCAAAACTATTTACTCCTATATTTCATCTCTCGCTGATACTAGGACGTGAAGCCCATAAACAGCCAACCTGGTTGAAAGTCACCGGACAATTGGATCCTCGGGGTTTATTGAATGCACTTTGTAGCCAGAATCAATCACGATTTGAGCAGTGGGGTTCCAAGGTCGCTTTTTTTTCTTCTGGGTAATGGGTTCTAGTGATCCTTCAGCGAAATATAATCATTTGCATGCGAATTTGGTTTTTATGAGTTAACCAACTGAACTTCAGCTGAATCTCTCGTTTATGACTCGAAACCGATCTTGGGCTGTCAGAGAGCTTTAAGCAGTCTTATGAGTAGCATGTTACGTGTATACAAATTTCTTATTTTACCAGCTGACCTTCCCAATATAACAGAGGTTGGTGGTTTTGCATGAGTTACGCGCTTTTAGCCTGAAAACACGACAAACCAAGAACGGAAGATGTACGCGGGGCTCGGAGAATCCTTCCAGGATGTGTAGAAAAAAACTTAAAGACACAGTCCAGGTACAAAACTGTGTGTAGGCAGAGGGATAATAAAAAATACCGTAAAAACATGCACTTAATTATCGTTCATATCCTAATTCACTGTGGTTCCAGGCGGATTACCAAGAAGCGGAACTTTTAACTAGAAGGATGGTTACTCACGGTCCTAGACTCACTTTGGTCTGTATTTCATGGAGCCCGAAAACCGCGGTCCATGTGGAGGTCTGTCATTCACTTCCGCACGATTAGGTGGATGGTGTTCAAAGTGTACCGCGTGGTGTATGGTCCGATGGGTGTTCAGCTCACATGGAGGCAGAATTACTGGTAGACCAGGCGGATCCATGGGTAGATTTGGTTCAGCACTATGATCCAAGGATAAGGTGTGAGAATAAGTCCGAGTATCGGAGTTTTTCTGCCACATCCCGGGCCCACGGCAAAATCGTCGTACAAGCTGGTCGCGGTTTTTGCGTATCGGGCCCATACATATGTTTATAAGAACTGAGGAGAAGACGAGGGTCGCCGGGATGCCAAGACAAGCGAAAATTATGCAAAATAATTTGCCCCATAATGTGACCGGAGAAACCTTTCCGTAACCTGCGGATGTAAACAAAAAAGCTCCTTCCTGTCATCAAACCAAATGACAAGGCTTCGAGTGAGAGAGAGAATAACAAATGCAAGTAGAGCAAAGGTACCAAGAGTATTCTATTCATTCTAGGCGCCTGTACTGTGCTGTACAGTTTTGGCCGAACACTACTCAGATAACATTTGATACTTAAGATGAAGAGAACTATATTGAGAAACTGAACAGTAACCTACATGGATTTCCCTTCTTAAAGGGACGAAAGCCAGTTTATCGACTGCGCAGTCACGGGTTGAAAAGATCACTTTACACATCCACCAGTAATGTCCGTGCAATACACATGGAAGCGTGCTACGCAAGCGACGAGCATCACAGGAACTCGACCTCACAACTTCTTGTTTCTCAGAGAAGTGTTCCATCAAGTGGTTTAACATTCTACCGTCGAACACTGAGCCAAAGAAAGCTTAAATGAATCCATCCATCGCAAACTCTCGCATAGATTTAACTGAGAGGCCAATTCTTTATTGAACATATTGGGGGTTTCAGTGTCAAAAGAGACAAAACAGATCCTGTTTTATCAATCAGTTTCTATCAGAAGTTTCAGTCATCTGGATAAAAACCTTCTCGTTTTGTTGCACATAACTGGTGATACAACAATCGCGTTAGAATGGCTCGTCATCGTTGGACGCGTGTTTAAGACAGCTTGTTCCTGTGAAGTTAGGTGATTCACAACCAACTTCCTGTCTTATAGTCAAAGCAGTTAGCACAGCCGTGTGATTCACAGGCACCAACTGGCGGAAAATAGTAGAACTACAATAGAGGCACTAAGCAGAGATCACTCTCTGTACTTTCGGGATGTTTCTGATGGGCGTTTGATTATGAGGCTGTTTGTCGGCACTTTACTGTCATGTTGACAAATATTACAAAATTTGTGGGGTTCTAAATAACTGAATTTTTCTGTACTAAACTCTAAAGCACTGCAAATACCAAAAAGCTATTACTTTGGACTTTTATCGATTGCTCATTCATGAGATATCTATGGATAGACATACTTCACTAGGTCGCGTCTGAATGAAAGGCTATCAGCAACAGGACATCTCACCAGAGTGAAAAAAATTGCAAAGCAGAACGCACAGGACAGAAAATCGATTGGAAAAGGCTGTTCAAGCGGGAATCTTAACGGTCTCAGCTCTAGGTAACGAGCTAAAGACCGAGTGATTGAATTTTCATGCAGTTAAGAGTGGATAGGCCGAAAACAACATATTTAGGAGGCGACACTCAAGCGCAGAAATGAAAACAAGACTTAGTCCAAAATGAGTTCTGAGCCTCTTTTTGGCCGACTAAATTTTTTTTCCAACTAAATCTTGGAAAAATGACAAGACAGTAAGGTGAATTAACTGAGCACAGTCGCATTTATTTGTCAAAATTGTGTGTGGACAACGGAGTTGACGTGGCAACTTCCTAGAAAAGCAGTCTGTCCAGCTTTGAGAGGATTTTCTCAACATGAGCAGTCCAAACCAAGATAGAGAAGAAATTTTCCCTTAGTCTGTGAAGCAATTGGAGTCAGAGGACGAATGCGCATAGCTGAGGCAGTGATCTGGAAGCCCTTTCATACGAGCAGCCCGAATTGGCCCATATAAAAGCCATTTTATGTGACTTAGAAGTTAGGTTTATTTGGGAGTAGGAATAGAGTAGATTAATTGAAGATGCATCAACATGATAACTACCGAATGGGTGGGAAATAGTAGAGTGGAAAACAGACTAATCAATACATCTGAAAGGTAAATCTAAGCGAGCAGTCAAGAACCTTTTGGCAGCGGGAACCGTTGTGCAACCTTATGATTCGGCAAATACGATGTCACAGTTTTTCGTGCAAAAATATAAATGCTAAATCATGACTGTGTGAATCACAGATTCTCAGGTATGTTCGTAAACATCTGGCAACCGTTTTATTAAAAGTAAAAGATGCTCAAGATGAAGTATCGTCAAATTTCGAAAATCCCAGCCACAACAGCGTTGGTGTCTTTATTGAGTTTTATCTAGTGGGCACCGGCGGCTAGGACACGTGACGGTTGATCAACAGCTTCAGGATTTAATCTGTAGACCGTACATCCAACAGGCGATTTATGCAACTGATAAATATATGAAATCACACCTCACAATTCACAGCTGCGCGAAACGGTCGCCCGAAGATCACATCCTGAATCTGTAAATCAAAGTGCCTCTTGTCTGTGCCCAGTGGATGGGCTAGGATGAAAACGAAGGCGGCCGTTTCATTCAGGTTTAAGCATCCTCTAAAATTGTAAATTTACGGCTTTGTAATCATCAAGTTCTTCACGAGGACTGGTGGATAACTGGGCAAAAATTTCCGATTATTTACAGATGGTCATCTACTTATCTGAATTGCTCAAAGGGCAGTTAGAAGGTGATACCTAAGTAGGTAATTGCCACACAGCTTGGCTTCTTTGGGAAAAAACAATTCACCGGTTGGCTACATCAGGTGTGGTGAAAGAAAACCCGTTTGAGAAAGCAAAAGTTCGATAGGATCCAGGGGAGTGAGCGGTTTCTACGAGTTTCCATCCGTAGCTCTGCCAAAAGACGATGCTGGTGTAACCGTTTTGTCTTCATGTAATAAAGATAGTAAGCTAGGAGATTTGTGCAAATCGTCTTTTGATCTGATGTCCATATCTGGCTTGACCTGTCACATGAAGCAAAGCTGACATACACATGTGCCAAATGCCATATATGCTTGCGCTGAGCGGTGTGTGAGGATGTCCCTAAACGCGGCGAAACCAGTAAAAATAGGAGTGAAGGGTGAACTGTAGGGAGCAGTTCTAAATCCGTCAGCTTGCCCAAAAGATGGTTCATCGTTGTCAGGTAAGGTGGAGATAACTGAATGTTTGAGTTCTACAGCGTCTACAGACGGACATCTATTGGTCTACGTCAATTGAGAGACGTATCTTAGATGTGTACGTATGGCAAGGTTGTGCTGATATTCTACATGTTTTAATTCCGACTGGTGAGCTTCCCCAGGCCGAGGTCTATCTTGTCTTGCAGTGAACTGTCACTGGTGAATATTGAAACGACCAATGTTATCTCAGTGGTGCGTTGACTTGCGAAACAATGGATGAACACGCAGTGCACGACAGCCTGGCGCCGATAAGAAAAACTGAATAGCGTATTTTACTTGCAAGTATCATAGGAAGACTGATAAAAACTCAGCTTCTATCCGTTTGTAGCCTGTCGGATAAACCTGACCGTAAGTGGAACTTTCCGGAAAACATGGTTGCTTCAAGCAGAGGACGCTGTTTCCGTTACCAGCAACGTCGGAAAATTTGTAACATATAGGGTATATGGTAGCCCGTTTGACGACATGTATCACATCACACTTATTCATAGCCGGATAGAACGGTGTATTGAGGTGGAGCGTGAAAAGCTGGGTTTCAAAAGGCACTTCAAATGAAAAGCACAACAGAATCAGGATGACTGATTTTGGAGAAAACGAGCAATGGCTTCCAATGAAAGCCAGGTGAAGAAGATGAACACACAAACCACTTTTTCACAAAGGAGACTATTCACAAGGTTGCTGAAAACTCTTCGACAGCCCACGACCGGTTTCACCCTTCTTGAGGCTCATCAGGTAGGCGCAGTCCCCGAGTTTCCGTCAACCTTATGGTCTACTTGAACCCAAATTGCACTGTTTTCGAAAAATACACTCATCTGCAAACCAATTTGGTTTTCACTCAACTGGATCCCTCTTTTGTTTTATTCTACGACTAAATATGCTGCACATAGGCCGCCTTAGTTTCAGTTGGCACGATATTCGAGATATCGCAGTATCTTTTCACTAAGGACTGCACCTACCTGATGAGCCCCAAGAAAGGCGAAACCGGTCGTGGGCTGTCGAAGAGTTTTCAGCAACCTTATGAGTAGTTTCCTTTATGAAAATATACTGCGATATCTCGAATATTGTGCCAACTAAATCATGAGGGGGCCTGTATGCAGCACATTCAGTTGTAGAATACCATGAACGAGAGATTCATTTGAGTGGAAACCAAGTTGATTTGCAAATTAATGTATTTCTCGAAAACACAAACCACTTGTTGTTGACGGTAACTAATTTAAATACTTTCTCGAGTGTCCTTCCAAAAATTCGTTTAAGACACTTTCGTACCACCTTCACGATCATTCCCCCGGATTTGGAAACCTACATTTTAACTTCTTGGTATGTCGCCTAACCCGCATGAAAAACTCACGTGAGTGTGTCATTAGACCGATCATATTGGTTCAATACGTGGACACTCATTTTCTTGGTCCATTGCACATTGCCGCCCATTAGTTCTCCACTTGAAGTTGTGTCATTCCCTTACCATAGCGCATAGGACGGGCGAGAAACCCAACTGTGATTCAAAGAGGCGTAGTACGGACAGTAAATTAAATGAGTGACGATCGGGCATTTTGATCTCAAGCATGGAAGAAAAATGGTAAAAATGGTAAAAAAAATTTACGCGGTTAAACTGTCTTAAACAGTGGTGATACCAAAACAATCCTTGCCTACCGATTGTTGTTACTATGGTCATCCCAAAAAAGATGGCTTGATCGATATTCCAATTTCCTGTCACCTCTTCCTCCGCTTTTAGATCATTTCCAGCAATTTCACCGATGCGTTCAAGCAGCTCAGTGAGACTGGGGGAATCAAACTTTTCAGACCAGTCTGAAGGAATATCCAGGCCGTCATAAAGACTCATGTTCCTGATTTCTGTGGCGATAATGTTCATTCTGGTAGCCCGAAGCACGTGCTGGAGAAATTCGAAAAGGTCTTTACCTGCGGAGAGAAAAGATATGAAAAGATATGGGATAATTCGCGTCTACTGGTCAAGCAGAATTTCACTTGTCATGTCATTTTGTGTTGGAGAATTAGTGTGAGAAACAAATTTCGTTATCTCCCGAGGAGTGAACGGATTAATCTTCATTGACTTTTGAGTTAGGAACTAATGCAGGGTAAACCAAAAAGCCCAACACATTTGTTCCATTCTGTGTTAGTGTTTAGGATCGGTGCTGATCTCATTCAATTTGGGAGACTTTGATTTGCAAGCCGATGATCTTACCTTATTGGGTGGCAAAATTCCCAACCCGATTACCAAGTAAGTGGAGAGATCTTAAGCCACCTGGTTAACAACCGATATGTTCTTTCTCGCCTACTAGTTTAGGGTTTTCCAACCGGGCGTTCTTATTCGATCCGTGTTGAATATGTAGACAGAACTCCGGCAAATATAGGCCTTGGCGGAGGCGAAAGACCATCGCTACATTCGAGTGTTGTATGCTATGTCATGACGGAAAATTTTCTGGTGATTTAATAATTCCGCCTTGTCATACGACAGTCTTTGTGATTGTTCGGTTGGGCCATTCCAAAATGGAGCATACGTTTCAATGTTTTTTCATGGATTCTTGCGCAGACAGCTCCGGTTATTATTCTACAGTCTGTCATACAAACGAGCTCGAAATCAAAAATCGAACTCTCACTACGATTGGAGTAAACCCCAGCTAGTGTCACGGTAATAAAAAACTGGACAAGTTGTTGGTTCGACAGCGTCCACCGTGGTTTCGGGTTCAGATCAACATTCACTGCAAGCGTTCTACAGCTTCATTGAGTGGCTTCGTCACTGGAGTGATTAGTAGCTGAGGAATTCTAACAAACCGGCCTCTCATCTTCAGTCCATAGTTCCGTAGTCCAGTGATTTTGCTAATGGCCCAATTACCACTACTAGGTCGTTACACTTGTTGCAGCACTGAGGGCCTAGAGGTAGTTTCATCACCAATCAAGGAGGCCATGCTAAAAGGTCACGTGGTCATCAACCAATCAGGACATAGGATTACAGAACGGCCAATGGAACCACCTGACCGAACAACTAGTCGTGATCGAAAGTCACCTCCGACCGGCAGGACATTTATCAACACGAATGCAACACTACTGAACGCACAACTACCAGCCCATCGCTACGCTTCAGCACGCTTCCTAACGAAGCACTGATGAATCCACTTCTTCTGGTAATGAAGGGTTTGTCATCAAATTGCCCGACTCAGATTACAAACCAGCGACCATCTACGCTACCCGGGCTAAGATTGTTTGCTTCCATAGGAGCCATTTATGTTGCGCATTCCAAATCGACTGTGGAAAGTCGACCAGCTGTGATAGGAAAGACCATGTGATTCGCGGTGATTGGTTAGACTCCATAGGCCTTAACTTTTGCCCTGAGTTTTGCTTTTAGTCCTTTAACCATGGACGTACGCCCATGAAATTTGACTGAGGTTACGCAATATGATATTCACTCCTGCATCATGTGCATACCTTACTCAGTACTAAACGCCTGAGGCAGTGCTCCGAATTGATGTTCCGTTTATCCTACCTGGTCGCATGTATACAAAATGCGTACACAAATCACTACCAATAAGTTCGTTGCAAACTGTTCGATTGTCCACTGTTGGTTTCACCTTTCTAGAGGCTTGTGACGTGGGTCTATTCCAGGGTACTTTGTTGAAACATTGGAGTCATTTCCGGGTAACTTTACAGAAAAGTGCAGGCGAAAGTTCATCAAGTGGCAAGACCTTTCATTCGACTTTTAGTTCGGAAATATCGATGATATGCCTACTTATATGAACAATTTTCCCCAGTTTAGTTGCGCTGAAAGACATGCAATGCACAGATTAGCTAACACTTTCATTTGAAAGCGATCTTTAATGATTTAGGATGGTCATATTTCATACGTATCTCGAGCTATTCAGTGTTCCTGAAATTGAGTCAGTTTGATCCATCAATCAAACCGCTGTTGCAGTAAACCGTACCAACACTATGGCCTGAAAATGTTTCAGTTTTTTTTATTAAACTTCTCATGCATACTAAAAAACTCTTTTCCTAAGTATATAGTTCTGGAACAACTTGCATATAGACTATCAAGATGTAGACTGGAAGCCGACTTGAAGGCGCCAATTTAAGGCTCGAATAAGTTCGTTAAAATGGAACTCCTCAATCAAATCCGCCCATCTACCCGGGCCGGTAGGTTACACAGATGCTGACTCAGGCTGTATATTTCCGCCTGGCTTTCTAGTGCACTTTTTTTAGAATAATTTTTCTTAAAAAAGACTTTCCAATCAATAGAATGCAGGTTGTTCCGGGTTATTCGGACTCACATGTCATCTGTGATTCTCAGCCACCGCTGATTTTGATACACCTTGACGCCCTGTTTCAACGACAGTCTGTGAGTCTTCAGCGGTCTCCTCACGATGTCTTCATCCCTAGTAGTTATTATTAGGCCTCAAGTTAACCTATTCTAGGTGGATTCACAGGTTCGGACTTTGCCATATGTTTCGGAGCGACGACATATCAACCAAAGATTTCGTCCGGCCTCTGGTCAACTCCAACCAACTAGAATTTTCTAAAAGTTCCATTGAGTTGACACAAACAGAAATTTTATAGTCAGTCAATGGTCCCAATCACCCAGTAATTGTAATGTCAGTGTTTTGATATGGTTTCTCCTGGATCCTCCAACTACAACCCGGAAAGTAGTAGTCCTCGAATCCAGATTAAAACTGGTGGAAGTCTGAAGTGACGCAAGTGGCATATTCGTCAGCGTATTAGATCGATTTGATAAAAATGTACATATGGGGTTGTCCTCCAATACGATGCAATTTCTCGAATCGATAAATGGAAAAACTCGTTTTGTTTCGTGGAAATCGTGATCTACTAACAAAAACAGTGGGTTACGGTTGATGTGCTGTCCCGCTAATGCAAGTTATACACTGATTGTTCGAATATGTAACGGTTCCATCCACTGAACAACTGTGCAGAGTCTCTGGTCAGTTTGTTTGGCTTGCTCTCGTGAATTTAACTGAAACAGTTGAGCTTTCCGCCACAAATGAGCACAAGTTATTATTGCCCTCCAATTCAAATGCACATCTTGTTTGAGCTTCCAGCACTCTGTGGCTGACTATCCATGCTCCTACATTGTATCCGTTCCCCACAAAAGGCTTCGCCAAAGTCAGTCACGGACTTCCATTGGAGAGACAAAGCCTCTGGAGAGATCTGTTTGTAAAACCTCCTTCTAGCGGAATTGTCTGATGCCTTTCCTTGATATGGTCTCTACAGAAGGGGTCACCGAAACCAGACTAAGTCGTTTAGGTGTGGGATCCTTCCACCGTATTGCTGTTATGCGGTTTCAAATCAGTGGGATGTTAGGTGCCAGCGTTACCGTCAGGCCTCTCAAACTTTGACAGCATCGGTTAAAAAGTCAAGAGTCAAGTTTAGTCCCGAGTCCCCAGGGTAGGATGGTGGGCATTAACCCCTTGCTCCAACTGAAGTCTGGAAACGTGGAAAAGGCAGAGCTTTTATTGAAACTCACTATTTGGTCTCATTTTTCATTATCGTCTCATTTTAATCAAAGGAAAAATACAGAATGACAGTCCCTCCGGTCCCGCCTTCACTATTTTTGTGTGTCAGGTCTGACTGGACGATTTGAGTTCATGCATCACAATAGAAACTTTCAATAAAGCTGCTCAACCTGAGCAAGAACAACAAAGACAGCACTTTTAATACTCAAACGTAAAAGAATTTCGGTCGGCGCTTGTGTTGAACTACTTTGGCGTATCTGATAGTGTCCGAAACTTTAAATTATCTTGTGACCAAAGCAGGGTCACCTTTGTTGGCATGCCATAGATAAACACATGCGAGGCCAGCAGCCATTCGCAGTAAATTACAGGTTGGAAATATAACGGCCTATTGCTGGCTGTGACCAGACTGACAGACAGACGGTCTAGCGAATCAACTAAACAAATGCGCTTTAGCTCACCCGGAATTGGAAACTGAAATCGATTCATGTAAGCATGTTACAAATGTCAATAAATCTATTGCTGCTGCGGTACAGTTCTATGAAATGTTGTAGTGGATATCAATCCTTCATGACCGCTTGCCAGCTCTTTCGCGCGACTGAACTCTGCGTCGAATTTCATAACAGCTAGTGCTTGTCGCCTATCCGTTTCATGTTAAACCACCCGTGAATCAGCATAGAAACAACCATATTTGATGAATCCAGTCATATGCAACTGATATGTGGTGACGTAGCTTCAATCGGGTACAGACGGATTACTACTGGCATAAAAATGCATACCGTTGTTGAACTTTTGACGAGCGTCTGTTTAGGTGTCAAACTTCCGTCCTCCCATCTAATGGAAGGTTGGGGCCGAAATTATGAAACTGTATTGTAGTGCCTGTTCACTCATGTTTGCAAATCAAGGCTTGTCCAAGGAAGTTCGAACGGACGCCTGAGGATGTCCACTTTTCAAATACTCCGTGAAGATCATATTTCCACCTTTGTGTTTAGCAGCTTGTAACCGCTTGGAACATGTGATTCAACCAATAGTTCTGCGCCGGTCGTGAGCTACGCACGCCGAACCACCGTTTACCGAGACGAGTGTGGTTCTTCGTGCCTCCTTCAGGACGGCGCGAACCGGGAGGTGGACAGCACATGACTTAGTAGAAAGGCGTGAAAAAGATCACGAAGAGTTTGGGTGTTGTTGGTGTTGTACGCCTTCCTGGATGGGGTCCCCGTGACCCCATCTGTGCTTGGCTGGAGTCGTTTCAAGAAATGGCGGCTAATCGATGTCAGTGGCATTCGTGCTGTCAGTTTCTTTCCAGATTGTCTGATTGAGCGGTTGGAAGGTGTAGGCACCTCAGAATGCTTGACATAGGCCAGCACTTGGTCCCCTCCCCCACTCACTCTTTTTCTTTTTTCACTCCAGGGCTTTTAATATAACTAGACGAACCTTATGGTTGTACGGCAGTGAAGCATCAGTGCCAACACTGATGTTGCTGTCTTTGATGATGATGACGATGTGTTTTACTTTTCACTGTTGGTGATACTCTTGGGCCTTGGATGAGAGATCAGTATTTGTTAGTCAGGACGATCCATGCGTGTTGTAAGACTATTCAGAGCTATTATTAGTTGTAGTGGCAGGCTGGGGTGGGAAATTGTCGTATCACTCATGAAAGCTCACATCAGAGTTGGGTGGACACTGTTCCAACTGATCAGAAGACTAATAAAGCAGGTTCCATACAATGCCAGTGTGTATCAATGTTGTTTCATGCCACAACTGACTTTTCGCACCCTATAATAAAAATCTTTTGTTGGTTTCAAGATACAACGCATTACTCATAGGGTCGTTGGGGGTCCTCAGATAGTTTCTTGAGGGCTCAAAGTTACTGCAAATTTAGGGTGATTCGTAACTTCAAAACACTTTCAGGAGTATAAACTGATCCAAGTTAGAACGTGCATTACTAGAGCGAGAAGGCACATTCAGGGGTTGAAATTATAACACTGTTCGGGAACGACTGTCCCCTCTTCGATATCGAAATTACGGATGAAAGCTGTCTCTGTCTGAACAGACCCCATTATCCCGCCAGGGCGACTATTTTCGGTTGGTTCCTTGACGCGATTTCCAGTGGTAAAATCAGTTCGTTATGAACGAGTATCTCGAAGAAAACATTCAAAAATGGACAGTTTTGAGAATTGCTGGTCCATTCTAACGAACAAAATGCAGCAAAAACTGGCCGTCTTTTAAAAAGGCAAGGTTTTAATTGGTGAGATCAGGTAGGGTAGAAAAAGTACTCTTGTCTAGTGGGTCATTGGGCAAATTACAGCACAATCTGTAAATTCTGAGGACTGAGTTGACCTTGAGAAGTAGTATAGATCATTCTCAAGTATTGCTTACTAACTAAAAACTAAACAGATTACGTCTGGAAATGAAATCATGGATGCCTCACTGTCTCACAAGCCTCTTAGGACTGTAGAACAGGTTACACATCGGCTTGTTGTGATGATGGTGGTAGTACGCTCAATGGGTTAGAGTCACGTGACAAATCATGAGGCTGGTAAACAGATCAACTTTAAGCTAGAAGAGGCATGCAAAACTCTGTCGAGCAAGGCAGTGAGACCAAACGAAGGAGCTGCTGGTTCATATACAAAAGTCGGACGCAACAACCAGGCTTGATTGCCCTCAATGGCAGATTTTTCTAAAATGGTGGACTTTGTTTGCTGGAGACATATTTTTCACCAGATATTAACAATATGAAAGCTTTAGAAATTCAGTTTATCCTTGCGTTACTGCGGGAAGCAGTGCGTGTAGAGTAACGCTTGCTCGTACAGATTGATTCAACAGCTTGTTTGGATTGCGTAAATGATTGTACCGGAGTCACCCAGGTTAGAACACGTTAGATCTATATTGATCCTTGACGAGAACTGTGAGTGATACATATGTACGGAGTGTTTCGACCGAGTATCTACCTGGCTAACTGGTTTTGTAACATCAAACATTGAAAACTAATGATAATAACAACACTGGTATTGACGCGAATCAGGGCATCTGGCATGAAGGAGTTCTATATTCTGGAAATATTCGGTTTCAATATAGCTGAAGTGCGTCTTTCTTCTTAAGAATGACCTTCAAACTCTTTCACTTCTCTCATTTCTGCAAAACCGATGGTAGTTTCACTTCGCGGTGACTATGGGTTGCAAGAAAACAGATGCTAGAAGTGACTATTTTCTTACGTGCACACATTTTTTTAAAAACGGATTTCTTATAGACTAGCTTACGTTGGTTGAATGGGAGGTTGTGTGCTATCATGCGATACTTGAAAGCCACAGGCGTGATTCTGTGAAGCTTGTTTTCCATTGTGTTATATCTGAAGTTATTTCTGCCAACAGGTTACTTATATCAGTTATCAGTAATCAAGTCGGCCGTAGTGCGCCTCAGGTGCTGAACTTTTAAATCTATTATGAACGTTATATTAAGCGTACAATCTGAAACGTGGAAATTAGAAAAACCTCGTAACTTTTCTATCTCATGGAAAAAAGAACGCGCTCGAACCTACTTGTAACACATCGATGCGTTTTTAAAAAAGCCACCTGGGCCGCATGCAACCGTAATCGTTCGCTTCTCTCCGTTGGAATCTCTAATAGATAGAAACAGTAGCCTCCTAAGCAGACCAAAGTAAAATACACGACAAAGAATAGAATAATCGGAAGGGATCCAAAACAGAACATGGCGGAGCGTCGATTTGCTGATCCGTGTTCCGGATGCCGATGGGAATATGTGGAACGAAATAGAGCGTTGTTGTTATCGTCCAAGATTGTAGTGGATCTCGCTGAGGAGGGACAGGAATCACCAACATGTTCGTAACAGCACAAGTGTGGTACGTTAGGTGACGCTGGGATGGATTGTGACGTGCTGCATGTTTCGCTGGGGTTTGAGAATAGTTCATAGTTAAGTCGAGTGTTCATCGCAGCTTCACTTGTCAGTTTAGAATGGCATGGAATCATTTAGGCCATGGGCTGAAACAGGAAAGAAGGGCGAAATTATGGTGAACTGGCAGAGCGTAAGTTCCACACCTATAGGAGTAGCAGACTTCTTTGGGTAGTTTGGTAGGTGTACTTTGTCTGTACTGTGGTAGGGCACAATCAAATTGTGAGACCTACTTTCATTTCCAGCATATCATCATGATTATTTTTTTGACTCTTCTCGACGGTTTAGTTTCGAGTTGTCATTTGGTGACATATTTTGTGTAGCTTACTGCTTGGTTGTGCTCTTGGAAGCGAAAAAGTGAAATACTGGTGTAAAAACCAAACTCCATCGATGTCAAAGGTACCCACCTTTGTGTGGTCCGATCGATGGATAGAAGGTCAACTTTCTACCTGCAAGTGGAGGTACCAAGTCGAGTTGTTTATTGTGTTTTTGCATTGTGCATCATGTCAAGTTTCGAAAAATGATACGTATAAGCAAGTGGTCGCCAATACAATATCTATAAAGTGACTACAATGAAACTGCTTCTAAGGCTAATACTAAAACTAAGAAAGGCTATTCAAAATAGCCAGCTGACGAAGATACCACTGCTAAGCAGTCTGTCTAATTTCCAGAATCATCGACGCACCTAGAAATTATACATATTGCCTCTGTTCCAGAAATGGTCCATTCTGTTCCTTAGGTCCTTCGAAATTATTAACACCGATCTTACCAGCCGTCTTGTTCCAACAGTTTCGGACACCGATGTTTGCATCAATCCATTCCAGACACTTTCTCAAAAGATGATCTCATTCGAACATAAAAAAACTACGCGAGAAAGGCCAAAACATAACCACAACTATCTTGAGTCGGTTCAAACTTTGTGCAATATCTCTCTTGGCAGGCCCGAATTACTCTTCATTCGAACTCCGGAAGTGACGCCTCCACGGGAAGTGTACATAGTATGTGGATAGACAGAGGAATGTTGGCTGTCAGGAGAAGTGATGTATATGTTGCAATCTGATCACGTTTACATTTCAAATGCTCACCATTTGCTTAATTCACCTTATTTGGAGACATGCTTCTTGGAAAATAAGAATTCAGAAAAACGATCTTCTATGCAGTTGTCTAAGTGGCGAACACGGATACGATGTCAACGGTACTGTGCACCAGAAGACTACGTTTTTCATAAAGTGCATTTGAAGCCATGTCGAGCAACACAGAGTAACTACGACCCATCTACTAAGATCGATATCCCGGACCAGTTTAACTGAAGCTATTCGTACTCCACAACCGAACAGAACGGTCAGTTTCAATAGAATCATGTAGCATTGGATTGCAACATCACGCTTTATTTGCTATTCTCGGTGTCCGTAGGGGTTATCAAGGGTAAAAACACCTAAAGAGTGTAGAATGAGGGGATAATGTGGAGATTTGATGGAGGTGAGTACAATAAACCTGGAAAGCACTTATTTATTTATCAATCCATATTGCCAATCACCATCAGTGTGCATTCCACAAAACTCTAGGGAGATTCGACGCTGTGATCACTGATCTGTGAACAATAGCTCATTATGCCGCAGGTAGCTACTCCCTTGTGTAGTTAGCTAGTGTTAATGAAATGTCACGCCGTTCATCCCACAGTAACGCCTTTTGTACGATTCGTTCCACTGCTGTTCGGCAAGAGGATATTAATTTGAAGTTTCTTCCTCTTCCCCACAGACCATCTATGGTCTGTTGGTGATGGAAATTTCGTTTTCACATATCTTCAGCTACTAACTAAACACTACTGATCAAAATCGTTTTTCTGGTGGGCTTTACCGATTGCCAGCATGTGAATACTGTAAACGTTTTGGGGTAATAAACCCCTGAAAAAGGTGAAAAGTTAGTATCATGTAAAAAGTAAAACTATCTTCAGAAGGTGATTTCTTCTTACTGGTGCAAAAGGATTCTATTTGAAAAGGAAAGCTCGATCAGAGAGCCAGTTGATTAACGAAAGTTTTGCTCATGTTAACTGGGGTTTTTGATGGATTTTAAATGTCTAGAGACAGTTGTTGAATTTGAGACAAGAGACGTTATGAAGTGTGTCAGAATCTTCAACATGCAAGGCACATTGATCAAAACCAATAAAAGAGCTTACATTGAGGTGAACTTATCTTCCAAGTACGGTAACCGCATCCACAATGTTGATGTCAGTTCACCGTAATGTTCGTTTGGACGAACAACAGCCGGGACCACTAAAGATGGATCTCGGTTTCCGTGACGTTGAAATATTGGTCCCTCTGAGTACATGTTGCTCGCGTCGTTAAGTTCCCGCAGAGTAAATCTTGAGTGACTTACCCTACCTTCCAAGGCTCATTTGATTCTTGATACTGGCGGTAAATAAATGGACTAACCATGGCTCCGATTGTTCCTGATTTTCCCTTGCCACCCTAAACCCTAACCAGATGGCCTTTGCTACATTTCACTTGTCTTATATATTGAAGACAAAAAGCCTTCCATCATCTTAGTTTTCGACTGTTCATCTAACAACAGACTTATTTTTGATGGCAGGAGCCATCTTACGTTTGGCGGACCGATAAACAGAGCAGTAAATTATCTTTGTACCACACTCAACTCTTTTTGCAGCCGACCTCTATCTAAAGTAGCCGGGTTGATTACTGGAGAATCCACCCAGGCCTGCAAGTTGGTATTTTTCTCCTTCAAACTTTTGCTGTCCCCATATAATTATGACGAATTTTAAAAAGTTTGTTTGACGAAAAAAGTTTCAGGACAAAGTGCTCTTATAAACATTCTGCAATTTGAAGAAACTTACTACTGGCTGATGAACTTCTGAGTCCGCAATTTCCAAACGGATAAGTCATTACGCTGTACAACCCTGCGTTGACCTGCCATCAGGAAACCAGGACCTCCCAGCTTGTTAATAGCCCAGTTAACTCCCATGATGAAAAAGTGAAGGTACTGAAAGAATTCACTAAGCCTGCGAATTTTCGCATATACCAACCCATCCTGAAAACAGCTATAGATAACGTAGACTATGATGCCGACCTCTGTTCAAACGTACCTTGTGAGTTTATGTCCCAGTAAAACCACTCGGCAAGAAGAAGACGACAAACCTTTATCATGTATATTTGTAGTGCACTACTCATTAGGTTGCTGAAAATCCGTCGACAGTCCACGACCGGTTTCGCCCTTTTTGGGGCTCATCAGGTAGGCGCAGTCCCCGGGTTTCCGTCAACCTTATCTTCTACTTGAAACCAAACTGCACGAAATTAACGAAATACACTCATTTGCAAACTCGATTGGTTTTTCCAGAGACTCACCTGGAACCCAGCTGAATCCCTCGTTTGTGATGTTTCCAGCTGGGTTCCAGGTAAGTCTCTCGAGAAACCAAATTAGTTTACAAAACTTTATCATATTATTCGAGTTTTTTTGCTCTGACAAACCAACTGATTCTACCAGATTTAGAACGGGAAATGCAAGAAGCATCTAAGCCGCAATTATCAGTACCTGAGGTGGAGCTTAGGTGTAAAAGTATTGCTTTAGCATGGCGGGGGTGCGTTTCACTCTCATCCGATTTCAATGCTGCCGCATGCACCAACTAACCGCAATGCCAAATCAAATCAAGCTTCAACTTCCCATTATTTTATATGGGGTCAGAACGTTTTCAAGCGTTTTACAGCGTTAAACTTTGCAAAAGACCCTATAACTGAAGCAGATGGTTTCCGAAGTATCCCTATAGATCACGCGTTGGAGTTGATCAGAGAAATCAGAATAACTAAAGCAGTATCCCAGAAACAGTGCCAGTAAAACAGCTGTCTGCTTCGTAACTACCCTGAAAAGACAGGTGTGCAGTGGCTTTTCATCACCTCGAGAATTAGACGTCGTTTTCTTTCAGGTTTAGCTTATCAGATAGTGAAAAGAGGTTCACCAGAGTAGAAGAACATTACGAAACCTAGAAACAACAACTTTGGGCTAGTAATTTTAATGGACCAAAATTTAAAAACTAGCTATTGTCTAGCTTATCACCGGGATCAAGCAGATTTGTTCGAGGAGTGAATTGAAAGCAACGCATTGAACTGCATTCCATTCAGGAGAAATCCATTTCTCCCTTTGTGTCAAACTAACATGCAAGTCTTATTTGAAGCTAAGGAATCTGTCTCCAGAAGATATTACTGAACTCTTAGTTGCCCATTTTTGTTACCTACGCTTATTTCTACAAGTCAAAACAAAGTAAAACATCAGTTTTTTAGAGGATGTTTCTGATGCAACCACAGACACGTTTTTTAGATTTCGTTGCGTTTTTTTGCATTCAAATCATATGACAGTACTTATGACTCTATTTTAGGAGTAGGTGGGTTATTTTATCGAAAAAGTGAGAAAAATCTACAAAACTTCGTTTATGTGGGATGGTTCAGCATATTTTGTAGAACTTGTGACAGCCATCCTATTCCTATAACCAGGTTTCTTCCTTTTCAACACTTTTTTATCACTTCAGTTTTAGCCATCAAATGTATTCAGGCAAATGTTGTGATTTACCGGATGTGAGGTATCAGTGTCCACTCTGACTGATATGGACGATGTTGACGATCAGAAGACGGCTGTGATCTAGCGCAAAGGACTGTAAAAGCTTCCAAATATGAAGCTATTTATAGGCGTAATAAGGTTGCTAAAAACTCCTCGAGAGCCTACGTTTGGTTTCACCCTTTTCAGGCTCATCAGATAGACGCAGCTGCCGAGTTTCCGTCACCCTTATATAGTAGTGAACCCAAATTACAAGAATTTATCGAAATACACTCGTTTTTTGGGAGAATCACCTGGGACAGAGCTGGATCTCTCGTTTGTATGATGTTAATAATGTACCAACAGAAATATGAAGACGTGTGGGACAGCACATTCAGTTGCTTAAAAACATCATAAAAGAGAGATTAAGTTGGAGGTCAAGCGAGTCTCTTGTGAAAACCGAATGGGAATGCAAATGAGTGCAGTTCATCCAATAAAGAAATTTACTTTAGACTGGATACCACGGTATGTCGGCCTTGTTAGTGCTTTGCGCTCTCATCGTCTACAAAGGGCAGCCTTCACGTAATAAGATTGTAATTGGATTCAAAATCAAACACGGATATGAGACAGTACAGCAGAGTGACAGAGGTTCCGAAAGAATCTGGAGATAAAGTATTTTTGAGAAGTTACGGAATCGGCACACCGGGTTCTCACGTAAAGTGCCGAAATACAACTCAAATGCAAAAGTTTTTATTTAGGCTTGTGGGTTTTAACGTAGCTTTCCCGAGTGCAAAGAAAGATCAGATGTTTCTCATTCCATTCACTGCATCTCTACTTCAAATGTCCAGTCCACTTATGCGTTTTACCCGGAACACAGCATGAAGTATATGGAGAAGCCCTTCGAAACTTCCGTAATTTACCCTACTAAATACTTGAGATCTTTCGGCTTTTGAAAAAAAGACTATAAAATTTAGGGGCAAGCACTTTAAGCACCTCAGAGCGGTAACTGTCAATTGTGGGTGCATGTCATCATCATCATCATCATCGACAGCACAGCAACAACTTTCAACACTGATGCATCGCTGCCATACAACAATTAGTTATTTGAATTTCCTATCGGGAATAAAGTAATTAAATTGGATTGAGGGGAATTGGTGTTAACCTAATACAGTCATTCCGAAGTGCCTGCATTTCGGGGCACCCGTTTAGAAAATATGAATAGAAATTGACAAAAAACCCGTAGCTTGCAAGGTTTTTGAGCATGCATAGGAGGGATAATGCGGAAAGAATGATGTGGATAGTGATCTTGATTACCACAGTAGCCTCATTTTCCATCGAGAGTTCTAACTTTTCAAAA